CTGCCTGTTTGTTTTAACTGGGTGGCTGACTCAATCCCTCAATCATTCTTTGTATATCTCATCCAAAATAGTTTGTGGTGTAAAGGACCTTGATGCTTCCTCAGGATATCTAAATAGTTATTTTCTTCAAGGGAGTTATTCAGAGTAAGCGTCAGTGTCTCTCTGATAGTAAAGGAGGTTTCCTGGTAATTACATTGGCTTTTGGATAATTTCCTATATTGAGATGTTCCAAAAGCTTACATGCAAGCCAGTGTTACAGGAGTAAGGTTATGATACAGACATTTCTGAGCAGTGTGTAAAGCTGCTTTTTTTTTTTTAACATAAGTTTGAAGAAACTTCCTAAGAGAAACTTAACTGCATTTAGAAGAAATCAATTGCAAAAACATAAAGAAGCATTTGCTAGTTTTGTTGAATTTGCCTTGAATGTTATGTTTATCAGAATCTTCAAAGCCAGTGGAAGAAAGGGTATGTGTGTATGTGTGTGTCAGTAGCAGCTGAGAGTGTAGATAAATAAGGCTTTTAAAACGGAAACAGAAAACCTTTTATGCTTTGAAGTTCTGGAAAATAACTTGAGTTTGGTCTGATAGTAGGTTTTTTCCCTTTTTTTTTTCAGCTTGAATCCCTTTTACAGTTATGGCTCACATTAAGCCTGAATTCCAGCTCCTCTGGAAGTAAAGATAGTGGCGCTGATATTTTCCTTTATAACGCAAACCGAATACCTGTAATTTCCTTGAACCAAGGTAAAGTACATTAAAGATGGGAAATTAATTTTCAGGAAGTGTAAGATAAGGTTTTTTTAAGTACTCCGTTTTTACTAATAAGCAAAAAATATTACAGTAAGTATTCTTGATAAGATCAGTGTTTAGATAATTTCTCTGTTCTTATTGAAGAGGTTGTGTGGGCTTATCTTCTTAACATGACAAATATTTAGCTAGTGTGTAACTGAGAGGTGATTCTTTGAATTTCATAATCTCCTCAGAAATTAAATTGTAAAGGTTGTGGATCTTAACTCGTCATTACTCCCAAGAGGTTTTTTAAAAATACACCTCTTGGTCTAAGGTGAACTGTGCACCTGTCTGCACTTCTCTGACAAATTCCTTCACCTGGCGTACTATCCTACCTTTATCATCAAAGGGGTTGGCCATGGCAGGAAGCCCTATTCCTTCTTGGCATCAGACGACTAATGTAATATAAAGCCATGTCAGATTATTTTGGTTTTGTAGTGTGTTATACTGTGTAGTTTAGAAAATCTACAGTATCTTATAGAAACATAGAATCATTTTGGTTGGAAAAGACCTTTAAGATCATCAGGTCCAACCGTTATCCTAACACTCTTAAGCCCACCACTAAACCATGTCCCTCAGCACCACATCTAGACATCTCTTGAACGCCTCCAGGGATGATGACTCCACCACCTCCCTGGGCAGCCTGGTCCAATGCTTGACCACTCTTTCAGTAAAGAAGTTTTTCCTAATATCCAATCTAAACCTCCCCTGGTGCAACTTGAGGCCATTTCCTCTTGTCCTGTCGTTAGTTACCTGGGAGAAGAGACTAACACTGGCCTCACGACAACTTCGTTTTAGGTAGCTGTAGAGAGCCATAAGGTCTCCCCTCAACCTCCTGTTCTCCAGCTGAACACCCCCAGGTCCCTCAGCCGCTCCTCACCAGACCTGTTCTCCAGACCCTTCGCCAGCTTCGTTGCCGTTCTCTGGACCCACTCCAGCACCTCAACACCATTTCCCCCGCCAGTTCGGCTTATGGCACATGGGACAGCCCGCTCCTGTGCTTTTAAGACTTCCTTCTTGAAAAAAGTCAAGCCTTCCTGGACCCCTTTGCCCTTCAGGACTGCCTCACAAGGGACTTTCTCAACCAGTGTCCTAAACAGGTCAAAATCTGCCCTTTGGAGGTCCATGGTGGTGCTTTTGCTGCCCCTCCTCCTTACTTTGCCAAAAGTTGAAAACTATCATTTCACAGTCACTAAGCCCAAGACTGCCTCCGACCACCACATCGCTTGCCAGTCCCTCTCTGTTAGTAAACAGGAGGTCCAGCGAGGCATCTCCCCTGGCGGGCTCGCTCACCAGCTGTGTCAGGAAGTTATCCTCCCTGCACTCCAGGAACCTCCTGGATTGCTGCTTCTCTGATGGGTTGTATTTGCAGCAGATGTCTGGTAAGCTGAAGTCCACCATGAGAACAAGGGCTAGTGATTTTGAGGCTTCTGCCAGCTGCTTGTAGAACATGTCATCAGCCTCTTCATCTTGCTGGGCGGTCTATAACAGACTCCCAGCAGGATGTCTGCCTCACTGGCCTTCCTCCTCATCCTTACCCCCATAAACATTCAACCACTCCATCACAGTTGTTGAGTGCTATGCAGTCAAAACACTCCTTAACATCGAGAGCCACCCCACTGCCTTTTCTACCTCGCCTGTTCCTTTTGAAGAGCTTATGGCCATCCATTGCAGCACAGCACTCATGGGAGTCATCCCACCATGTTTCTGTGGTGGGGACTATGTCATAGCGGTTGTGCTGCATGTGATATGTGTCCAAAACATGATAGTCCAAAACATTAAGGCGTGGTATAATAAACCTGTTACGCTGACTTCCACAAGAGCGTTTTGAAACTAGTTACTTTGCATTGTTTTCTCCGAGATGTCAGGGTCTGGGTGTTGTAGAAAGTTCTGTGGGCCGGTTTCTGTGAAGTGTTGGTAAGGCTGCTTTTCCTAATTTCCTGGAGTGACAGTTGTCAAAACAAAGTAAATTCATCAAACAATAATATTAATAATAATAAATAATGCACCTTACAGTAAAAATAAGAAATTGATACTAATACCCTGAACATTAAAGCTTGGGAAAACATGTTTTTCTTGACAGCTTCAGTAACTAGCTTCCTGTCAGTTCTGGCGTGGTATCCTAATACCTTGCTCCGGACGTGGTGCCTTGTGCTTCATAGCCTAACTCTCATGACAAATATGCAGCTTAATGGTAAGTTTTGGGTTGTTTTTTGTTTGGTGTTTTTTTTTATGATTGCCTGTTTTAGTGATGTACAAATGAGTGGGTGTTGATTCCTATCTGAAAGACTACCAGAACTTTGGTTTTGTCATATCAGTACTTTTGTTGGTTTTCCATAACTTCAGGCTTTTCAAGAGTGGGCTCTTTGAATTGCTTCTACCATGGGAATCTGATACCTTAGTGGTGAAAGAAAATGTCATTAGAAGTAGGTTGGGCCTTTTGCAGTCACAGCCTGAGTTCCTCCAAGGCTAGAGATCCCACAGCACCCCTGCGTCACCCCTCCCAGCACGTGACCACCTTCCTTTTCTTAGTCTCAATTGGATTTTTAGCTGCAGGTGGCAACCAGACACTGTAAGCATCCTCTTCCCCAGGCTGAGCAGCTCAGTCTCACAAAAATCTACTGCAATTTTTCCTAGTAGGTGAAGCAGTAGAGCTGTGAATAAACTAATGAAAGTGACTTAATCGATATTCATAAACTGAGACCTCCATCTTGTTCTTGATATTTGAGATAGAACGTGGCCTGATTTGTAGGATAACAGTGTCTGAAGTTAACACCCATGTGTACTTTCAATGCTCCCAATCTGTAACTGTAGACTAGCAATTTCCAAAAATTGTGTGGTGTGCGCCACTGAGAGCATATGTGAATCTCTTCCAAGTGGTACAAGGCTCAGTGTGCTCTGGCCCTGACAGGCAGGCAGCTGCGTGTTTGCTGGAGTTTCTTAGGCAGTTGCCTGAGGCCAGTAAGTGATGATGTGAATGAAATCTGCTCAGAAGCAACCACTGATTCCTCGCAGGCGCACTTCAGCCTGCGAATGTGGCTGTGGATTTTCGTGCATGTAGGGTTGTGAGCCCAAGGTTGGAAAGGGTTGGAGCTGCAAGCTTCCTGCAGGGTAAAGGGTTGGAGGTGTGGCTCCTTTTATACATGTGTGTGCATTAACAGATGTGCAGATCTAGATCCCTTCATTGCCCCTTTTCCCATATTCACTGGTAGAATCAGGAGTTAAGCAGGTTTAAGCACCCATCAGATAACTTCTGTGCCAGTGTTCCTCAGTAGCTGGTAACTGAAGGTAATATTCTGTCTCAATGGCACTGAGTTGTCACATATAAGAAGTGAAACACCCTCTGTTCAGTTCTTGACAACTGAAGGTGGGATCTATCAGAGCACTTCTCCAATCAATAATTTTGTTTTCCATAGGCTTTAGTTCAGAACTGGGACTAATGATAGTCTATTAAGCCATTACAGACAGTGTCTCACAAGGGTTCTCGTCAGCTTTCAAGATCACACTTCCCAGGAGAGATAGGTTTTTGAGGGTTTTTTTTTTAATATTTACAGCCAGTAGAGAGTGAACAATTTCAAAGACAAGTTGTTCCTAAAACCAAAAAAATGTGACGTGTCAACTTTCTTTAGCGTCAAGTTTCTCTTGTATTCTCTTTAATTCTGTAATGTTTTCAGCTATAAGTACAAATTGTTCATATATCTTCACTATATTGACAGATTATGGTGAGAAAATCCCACTGTCTCTATTTTTCAAAACCATTGGATCTCAAAGCCTTCTCAGAGAACATCCTTCTTAAGTTTTCTTTATTTATCTGAAATTCATTATTGCTGTTTGATACACATTCAGCCGTTCTGTTTTTCACCAGTCTTTCATTTAAATAGAAGAAAGGAAAGGAAATGAAAGAGATAAAAAAGGGGGGAGGGGGTGTGTGCTTTTTCATACTCTTCCATTCTTTCTAGGTAAGGGTCTTGCCGTACTTGGATTTTACGAGTGGTCTCTTTGGACCTGCTCCTGAACTATTGTACTCTGAAGATTTCTTTAAGCAGTTAATGAGTTAGGAAATTTTGTCATGAGAAATGAGGTGGTTCTAGAGATCTCATCCTGATGTTATGTTCAAAGCTGTTTCTTTGTTATTTTTCTAAAACACTAGATTTCTTCAGGAGTCATCAAGGCTTTTTACTTGGGGTTTTTCCCCCACCTGAGTACAGGGCAGACTTTTTTGGGGAACTGTCCTGTGTTGGGGTTTTATGAGCAACCACTGTACAGGGTAAGACATGGTCAGAAAATCTTTCTTCATTATGCCATTATGTGCTGATAAATGTCTTCAGAATGAGAGCTCAGGCTGTGTAACTTCTGTGCTTCAGAAACTCTTGCCTGGGATAAACCCAATACCCATACCATTTCTTTTCAGAACAGTCACCTTAATTGGTTGGTTACAAGTCAATTGGTTACAGGGACAAATTTTGCAAGGATGGTGTTTAAAATCAGTGTTTGATGGGTGACATCTAGAACCATTTAGTGCCATGTAGAGGAAGATAGGTATAAGCAAATCTGTGATACCTGGCTAAGAAAAATTTCTCAAGAGCTACAGTTCTCTAAAGTAAACAGCTGTCATCTGTCAAATCATTGTCATAGTGCATTTACTCATCTGTTCCTTTAGCAAGAAATATTCATGCTCTCCTGACGTGCCCTTTTGCTTACCTGTGGTTGTTGTCACCAGAAATACTGCTTGAGACCAGTGTTTTGAGCGTAAACACTACCTGACAGCAGATAATGTAGTCCTGCAATCTGAGTTAGAACATCAAACAAAACATGTCAGACTATGAATACCATGTAGAAAAAAAAGAGTGAGTTTTTATATTGTAGTGATATTTTTAGCTGTTAAATACAAAATATAAAACCAAAATAACATAGGAAGTAATGAAGAGGTAGATATTCAGTTATAGAATCAACCCTATTGGGAAACAGTAGAAAAACTATGGAGCCTTCTAATCCTGGAAGGAAATGAGTTGAGGGTTGGCATGTGGACTTGGCTGCTGCTTGCCTAGAGGAGATGGGCTGGGACTGTCCGTTCTGGAGAAGTTCTAATGTAATCTGCTTGTGTTAAGCTGTAAAGACTTCACAAATAGCCAGATTTAACGAAGTCGTTACGGTACAGACCTAACAAGTGAAGGTGAACACAGCACGAAAAAGCTAGAGTTCTAAAAATAATGTTACTTTCAAAAAAAACTCCAAGGGAACAATTTAAACGACTTGAAGCTATATGCCAAGCGTGCCCTGTTCAGCAAAATGCAGGCATACATATTTTAAAAGCTGTAGTTTCGATGGAGAGTTCATTTTGGTTTGTGTTCTTTTTTAAAAAAGAACAATGTTGAATAGCAGTGTTGCTTATCATACTGATCATTATAGACTTCATAGGTGTTTCAGGGTCTGAAGAAAATTAAATACCTTCTGTCTATGAGGGTACCATTCAGGAATGCAGGAAAGCATGAAAGTATGTCCCTTCTTCAAATAAAATTATAAATATTTGGGGCCCTTTGAGCACTTATTTTAAAATTAATTTGATACTTGATACTTTTGGACAAACTCAAGTGACATCTGTCTCAAAACTGTAGTCATACCCAAAATTTGAATGATGAAGTTACACTGAAAACAGTGAAAAGTTACGAAAAACTGAAAAACAGAATAACAAAATGCTATTCACTTCTCTCAGTTAGCTGCAGTTGCATGTAATTTTAGTGACAGTGATTTGTCTTTAAATTTCAAAACAGTTTTTAAGTGGAACTCTTTAAAAAAAAAAAATAATAAAACAACCAACCCAAAAGGCAAGTTAGTACTCTTAGTGACCGGAGTGTCACTTCAAATTTTAACTTATATTGTGATATACTCAGAAACACCCCCCAAAAACCAACCAACCGACACCCCAGCACCACCAGCCTACATACCTAGTTTTCTTAGAGGGAAAATCAGCATATTGTATGTTTTAGTTCAGTAAATCTTCAGGGGTGCAGATTTAGCAGGGGAAGATAAACTTGATCAGTTCACCCAGAGTGGTGTTTCCGAGGCACATCCTGCAATGGAAGGCTTCTCTGTTGTTCTGAAATGTCTGGTTCCTCTTTCAGAGAACCTGTGCAATGATGTGCTTACTCTTTACAGGGGTGTCCCCCACCCGGACAAGACCTAGTGTTTTCATCTTTTGCACTATCACACGTAAACTAGAGCAGGCTTGTGGCGTACAGTATGATGGAGCTGGAATGCGGCGGGATGCTTTCTTCCTTTCGGTCAGCTCCAGCTGTTGCCATGCCATCAGTCGTAGCCATACAGGCTTGTTCCACTACTAATGTTGGTACACCAATGCAAACCAGTTTGTATAGCTGTTCAAGAAACTTTCAGTGTTCATTTTCTGCATTCATCTGAGGCAAGAAATCTGTTTATAGTTTGAGAATAAAATGGCATTTGATAAGGGGAAAACTTCCTGTGAATTATCTTCTCCTTGCATCTTCCTGTAAGGATTTCTCCTCATAGCAAGTGTCTTTCCAATGCTATTTTTATTTCATTGCTCTGAAAGCTTTTCAGCTGAAATGGAAGCAGTCAGGGTTTAATTCTGGTTTTGACAGAGACATTTTCCTCCTGGTTGGGATCTTTGGTTTAACTTTCCTTGGTTTAAGGAAGGATTCAGTTCCTTTAACAGCCTTCCTGATTAAGAATCTTGTCTTGGGAGGCGAAGGAATGCCAGCCAAGCTCTCGTACCACAGCATCGTTTCCTCTCAATTAAATCTTTTCTGTATGATGCGGTGGTCTGAAAGAGATCACATCTTCAGCATGTAATAACCTGTCACTTCATTTAGATAGGCGTAGTATTACGAGAATACGTATTTTTATTAAGTAGGTAGCTATGCTTTTTCAAGTTGTATTTTGAATTGATTGAGTATACCACTACTGAATGAATAAGACTTCACATTTAATAAAGTTCATTTGTTTGATCATTGAAGGGTGTATTTTACTTTTACTTCTTATTTGTTAAGGTCCCTATCGTTTTAGTCAATGATGAGAAGTCTCTGAATGTGCCAAGGACAAAAATCTTGATTGTTTACAGGATAAACAATCCTTGTGGTCTCTTGACAAACTAGCCAATGCACTTAAGCCTTATTAAAGTTTTGGTCTAGCAAAGAGAGCTAATCATAATGTCTGTATATATTGCTTCTACGAAATGAAGTTCTACTTTCAAGGATACTGCCTTAGCAAGATTGGAATACTGATCGGACAGTTCTGGGGGTTTGTATCTGTACTTAATGGAAATCTCTATGCTCAAAATAGTAGTCCTGAGTAAACAGCTTTCAATAGCTGGCTTTGCTGAGAATATTTACACATCATGAAATAAGTATAAGGGATATGCAGCATAAGTGTTTGGTTTTCATTTAATGCTTAAGATTACAGATTTAATTTTTGTGTCTGTGTTTAAGCTGGTCCAAGCAGTGCCATTGGAGCTCAGGAAAGTACTGCCCAATTGTTGGTGTCAGATCCAAACCTCATTCATGTGTTAGTGAAATTTCTTTCCGGCACTAATCCTCATGGAACAAATCAACACAGTCCACAGGTAACTAGCAATTAAAATAAGAGAAAAACTCTTTGTAATAGGATTTCAATATACTTGGTATGAATATGTGTTATTCATAATTCATTATATTCTTGGCTTGTTTCTTTTTTTTGGTTATAGTCTTAGTGGGTTCTGATGAGCAGCTATAGGGAAGTTAGTGTTGGTGATACACAGTGATTGTACATTTTTACAACTCTCTGGAGTCTTGCCACAGGGACAGAATGCCGTGTGATATGTCAGTAAATAAGTTCCATGTTAGGATTCATTGATTACATGCATGAAAAAAGTAAATAGTTCAGTCAGTTCCCTGAAATCTTGTTGGGCTGGGATAAAAATGCCAATGAAAGTTAAGTTTAAATATCTAATAATTCTGAAGTTTAAAATTATGCTTCGATTTTCTGCTTATTTCTGCGTTCACGTGGTGTCTACAGTTTCTCCTAATTTCAACTAGTTTTGTTTTTCCTTTTTGGAGTCTTTGAAACATCTGTGAATAGTGTTTAAAAAAAGCCCAATTCAACTTACTCGTATTTAATATTTGCAAGGAGTCTCAGAAACACTTAGGAGACAAAAAACACCTGGTATTTCCATTATGTTCCAGAAGATTTTCCAGGAAATACATAATCTTTTCCAGAACTTAAACATTGTGCAGTGCCATTAATTTAAAGCACTTATGTGTGAATGTGTATTTTGTGGAAAAACGTTCAGATTATTACTGAAAGGTATTCTGTGTGAAGCATACTTTGCATGCTGAAAAGATAGTGTCTCAAGCTGCAAAAACGAGTCTTAGGCAAAAAAATGAATTATGTGCTTTTTACTCGTGATTAGTAATAGAAAAACACATAATATAAATTGATACATAATACTTCTCCTGTGAAAACCCTATAAAATTTTTCAGAAAGCAAGTTAAGCTACACAGTACTTCTCTGTTCTTAGAAAACGTTCTTGTTATATATTACTTAATGTTCTTGAAAACATTTCAGTTTTATATAATACTTTTTAAAATGCATTTCTTTCTAGGTTGGGCCAACAGCAACGCAAGCTATGCAAGAATTTCTTACTCGATTACAAGTGCACCTTTCTTCAACTTGTCCTCAGATGTTCAGTGAATTTTTGTTGAAATTGATACATATACTTTCAACAGAAAGGTAAATCTTAACTGTTTTTTTTCCCCTTTATGCTCTCTTTGTCTTTAAAATCTGTGTGAGCGTGACTCACAGATAAGATGTGTGTCCCCCACCTTGTCATGCTGTCAGGTTGTACGTGGATGGTCATCTTAGGTGTTGCTGCAGCGCTACCAGCTGGATCTGGGCAGCCTCTGGGGCGCGGGAGAGCGTGGCTGGAACCCACCCGCAGCACTCTGCATGCGAGGGGCAGTGAACAGAAGCGCTGAGCAGGCGTTTGGACCGATGTTGGCTAGAGCTAAGATAGAGGTCTTGTTAAAGTGATCCCTAAAGAGTCTAGAAATTATTCATAGATAGTGAAAATACTATGGATGGCTTTTATAACCTGGTAGGGTGAAATATGAAATGGCATAATCCTATGTATGCAATTTGCATATTTATTGCCTTTTTTTTCCCCTCACCTGACAGTGGAAAACCTCCTCTGCCCCACTCTTCTTCTGGGGCCTGTTGATGTCTTGTCTCCCAACTAGGGTAGAGGAGAAGTACCACTGGCCAGGGCAGAAATGAGAGCTGATGGCTTGTCTTTTACAGCTCTGCTTCTTCAAGCTAGGTCGATGTGCTTGTCGACCTGTTGTGTATACAGCAGTACACTGGAAAGGTGGCAGTTGTTTGGTCTGAAGTACATTAGGAAGTATCATTTATTTCTGGTATTGATGTTCTGCTCATCCCCTTTGTATAATTAGGGATGAGTTTCCTCAGTTACTGGCTTTCCAGTAGGTGGCACTTTGGTGTTATCTATTCTTTAATCATACAGAAGACAGTTTCAGCCTTCTGTAGGAGATTTTACCGAAGTTAACTTAAATTGGATGGGTGGTGTTTACCAGGTTACATTGAAGATCAATCACTTGCATGAGAAATGTCATGACACAATAAAATCATTAATCCACAGTGAATCTTGGAATGTATGTCTGTATGCCATAATTTATTTGAAATAAGCTGATGAGACTACTGAAAGGATAGTTTTTGAAATGTGTTAGATTTTTATTTTGAGACAAACCAAAGGTGGGACTGCAGTGTCAGAAAATGGAAGTAAAGCACCAGAAAAGGGTTTAGGTGATTATTTCTAAACCCTCAGGTAATTATTGAAGTATACCATGTCTGATCAAAGTGCAAGATTGTTTGTTTGTGTAGAAAAGCGGTATTTTACTGTTAGAACTAATTAGATGCCAAATACTTTTTTCAGGGCTATGTCTATAAACTGGTGTTTAAAAGTTGTGGTAAGATTAATCGATGTCAAAAGACAGAGAGAAATATGTCAAAAATCGGTAACTAACACTTCAAGAAATGGCATCAGTTTTTTTTTAAATATACTGATTCAAAAGGTTCATTTTGTAGTCCACCAGTGTACATGTAAAAGCAATTGGGAAGATAAACTTACCCCTAAAAGAGATCTTTCAAGCAATCAACCTACAAACATCAACCTGTGACAGTTTGAATGCCTTCTCATGGTCTTATGTATAGTTACTATTAGATAGCTAAAACTTAACCATTCTTCTTTCTACCTCAAGGGGAAAAAACCCCCAACAAAACTATGGGAAGAAAAAACCCCATTGTGATTTCCTGTTAGAAAACAAATAATCCTAATGGTATTAAAGTATGAGATGCCTTCTTCCTATGAAGTTTCACTGCAAACATAGGAAACTTTGCACGCGCGACTGAACAGGACTCTTCCAAGCCTACACCTACAAAATTAACTGAATGATTGTACAAAAAAGATGGATCCTAGACTTTATCAGAGGAGACTTTAATCCTTCATGGTATCAGGAAAGTGATAGTGTGAGCAGGTTCTGCAGGCTGTGGAATGACCAGCATATTCAAAAGTTACAAATGCTTGACTCGTGTGAAAGATCAGATTGTGCTTCAACATTTCAGTATTTCTGAAAATGGCTGGATTTTTATTTATTGAAAGTCTAGTGTGCTTTGTGATTCTTAAAAATCAAGCAAAAAAAGGCCAAACAACCAAACCTGTTTAACTTGTTAATATTGCAATGAAATTTCTTTTTCTTTTTTTTCCCAGGGGTGCTTTCCAAACAGGCCAGGGACCCTTGGATGCACAAGTGAAACTCTTGGAATTTACCCTGGAACAGAATTTTGAAGTTGTATCAGTTAGCACTATTTCTTCAGTGATTGAGTCTATAACCTTCCTTGTGCATCACTACATTACGTGTTCGGACAAAGTGATGTCTCGCAGCGGCTCAGACAGCTCTGTGGGTGCTCGAGCGTGTTTTGGAGGGCTTTTTGCCAATATTATCCGTCCCGGTGATGCCAAAGCAGTTTGTGGAGAAATGACAAGGGATCAACTTATGTTTGACTTGTTAAAGCTGGTCAACATTTTAGTTCAACTGCCGCTCTCCAGTAACCGAGAATATAGTGCCCGTGCTCCAGTAGCAAGCAGTACTACAGACAGCGTGTCTGATGAAGAAAAGGTTTCAGGAGGCAAAGATGGCAATGGAAGCAACCCTAACACTCAAGGTTCAACTGCGTATGTGGCAGACTTGGTGTTAGCCAACCAACAAATTATGAGCCAGATTTTGTCTGCACTTGGCCAGTGTAACAGCAGTGCTATGGCAATGATTATTGGTATGTATTTTGTGGATAAAATGGGAGATCTTTTGGGATGGTGAAACACCTAAAACTTCTACAAGCTCATAAATTGGGCGTAGGCATGACAGAATGTGTCACAGAACTGACAGGAAAGAATAGACTGATAAGAAGTGAAAGGGGCAACATGTATGTGAAAAAAAACTTAACGTGAGGTGGGAGAATTAAAACCAAACAGGAATGCGTTTGGCATTTGAATTTGCTGAATCTCAGAATATTGGCATTGAAAGGGTCCTCTGGAGATTGTCTAGTCCAGCCTCCCTGCACAAGGCAGGGTCAGCTCGGAGCCTGCCTCAGCAAGCAGGTTGCTCATACCTTGTCCAGTTGGCTTTTTAATTCCCCAAGGGTGGAAACTCCACAATCTCCCTGGCAACCTGTTACAATGTTGAATCATTCTTAAAGTAGAAAAGCATTTTTTCAATGTTTAAATGGAATTTCCTCTATTTCAATCTGTGTCCATTGCTTACCTCTCTGCATGGATTAGGATTAGTCTTCAGTTTGTACTATAGACACGTTACCTCAATTGTTCTCTATGTATTGCATTATTTTCCTTTTTTTAATGTTTCTGAAAAAGACAAATTAGAATTGTGGCCCTTGCACAGAATACATAAAGTTTTCTATTCCTCTGTTTTACCAGAAATCTCACTAACATCATGTTCTGGGAGTTCCAGTCATATATTTGTGGGTGGGATCTTCCTGCTCCGAACAAGTGAGGAAGCTGATGATGCTTTGAACAGCAAAGTTGCTGTTTGTCAGACATGTTACCTCAGGTGCATTTTCTCAGAGAGCCTGTCTTTATGTGACTTGCTTGTGAGCTGTGATGATAGCATAGAGTTTATTTGCACAAATTAAACCACTGGCTGAAATACCACGAATGTTTCTGCATGCGCAAAACTGGAAAAACATTTTGCAGGAGGATAGGCAAAGAGCTTGCACTCCGTTTCAGGGATAATAGTTATAAAATTTTGTTCTCGTTATAGCGATTCTTGTTTCGAAGAAAGTGGCTCTGGCCTTTTCTGTGCTAGTCTGTTTTAAGCAGATGTGAAACTGTTAACCAGTGCTAGTACCAGCAAACAGTATACTGTTTGGATGAGAGCTTGTAAATGTTAGACCAGTGGTTCATTTTGGCATAAAAGCACTTGAGGAAAAAGTGGTAATCTCCAGTAGTCAAATTAAACAGCAGGCAGGGTTTGACAAGCCTGGATTGTGCTATTGGAGCCTTCCCGAAACTTAATTCCAGAATGTCTCCTCCTTTACTCTGGGTAGTTTGTGTCATATTGCAAATAACACTATGAACACTGAAAGTAGTGTGTTCTGGAAATGATGATTTGTTCTGAATATGTGTTTCTTTGGAGTGAAATTCAAATACTCTTCTCTTCAACTTTGATGTCTTTCTAAACCACCGATTTCTGTCCAGTGGTTGTTTTGCTTTTTAAAAAAGCAATTTGGACAGATAGTGTTGTTTCAAAATGGTTTTCATTGAATTCAGGATACTGGGCCAGCTGATCCCTTCAGTGGGTTGTTCCTCCTGAGGCCTTTTAATATAGGTTATTTAAACTAATTTGTATGTGTATTTTGGGAATATGTAACACAGCTATTTGTGGGTTTAGTTTCTTCATGAAAAACTGTATTAAGCTCTCTCAGACAACTTCTATGAACAAAATGTTTCTCCAAGACTGCAGTCAAGGTTATACATGATCCAAAAGTCAGTTATCAGCATATAGTAGTAAACATGCAATGGCTAGTGCAGCATGCTTAGCTGCCCAGGAAAGGTAGACAAGAAGACACCTGCAGGTGTGTACTGATAAGTAGTGGCTCTGATGTCAAAGTTTATGCTGCTAATGTTAATTTACCGTGCCTGGGGAGCCACCTCCTCGGGAACCAGGGTGGCCTTGAGTAATTCAGTTGTCAAATGAAGTTAAAACCTGTTGGGTTTTCTTGTATGACCAGTTTGTCTATTTCTTTCTATTAGTTTTATGCTTAGTCACTGACAGACTATGGAAATCAGACAAGGAACAGATTCCCTCCTATCCTACCTTCTCCTCACCTTAGAGTCTTCACAGGAAAGCCACCTTAGTTGGCTTCAGCTGATCATTCATTCCATTTGGCTTTTCTAGACTCTGCAGAGGCTGAGTCTTAAGACTTCTTTCTCTGTCTCCATGCATCCAGTGATTACCAATATTTTCTTTCTTGACAGCTTGAAGGTGATTAAAGTACTACAGCTGTCAGTTCTCTTGCCAAAATGTTTCTCTAAGGCATGTTCCAAAGGTCACTTGAACACATTATTTTTTATTATTATTTGTCAGTATAATTCCAGTTTCTCTATTCCTCCCACTCAAATCTAAAAGCACTTTTAAAAGCTCTTCCAGATTGATGTCATGTGTTTTTTAAGACAGTTATATTTACAGAGGTAATCTCTTCCTTGGGAAGACGATTCTTTTGCTTTCCATCCTCGATTTCAGCAATATGTAATCACTGTTGCTCAATATCGATATTCAGTAAGTTCTCATTAATAAATCCTGAGCTTTGACACCAAGAAGGAGAGTTCTGTGAGAGGTATTTCTGATAGAAATACGTCTGTTAACTGTTTGGGGTTTTTTGGTTGCACGTGTGCCCTTCTATTACTATCTGAAAAAAATCTTAAATACTTGTTAGTTACTTCTGGCTAGGAGTGATTCCAATCCTTATTCTTATGCTGTTTCCTTCGGTTTTATGGTCTTAGCTAAAATTGAGTCTAAATTCCCTGACTTCCTGGGTCAAGTCATCCTATTTATGCTGTAAAGAAGGTAGCACGTATCTGGAAACGCTAGTAGTGATTGATATGATCCTGAAAAATGGCCCATTTGTAGTTTGTAAAATCCATATGAACATTTAACTGAGAAGAAGTTTAAATATCCTTGAGTTCTCTTACGTGCTGTAATGGTTCGTTAGGTCTTGGTTTCTGACCTTGGAACTGTTTCTGTTTTCACGAAGGTGCGAGTGGTTTACACCTCACTAAACATGAAAACTTCCATGGTGGATTAGATGCAATATCAGTTGGAGATGGGTTGTTCACGATCCTGACCACGCTTAGTAAAAAAGCAACAACGGTGCAAGTGATGCTTCAGCCAATTCTTACCTACATGGCCTGTGGGTACATGGGAAGACAAGTAAGTTCCCTTAGGTCTGTTGTACTTCAAGGGAATTATAAGTTAGTTGATACTGTACCTATAATAAGCTCAGAAAACTGAACTAGTGCTGTGTAAAAGAAATGTTAACGTTTTTCCCACCTCACTTCACTTTGGTGCTGAAGTTAGGAAGTCTCCCGCTGTTGCCCATGGTAGAGGGAGAGAGTTTCTGTAAGGACATCTCGACATTCCCATAAATGTTCCTGGCTAAAGGCTTGAAGATGGATTGAATATTTTATTATGTGCAGAATTTGTTGTGTGGGAAACACATTTATTGTGTTCATATTAGTGGGTATTTAAAATGCTCGGTATTCTTATTTCCCTTCAGCTGCTTACCCTCTCAGTTTGGTCTTTTCCCTACCACAAAGAGGACTCCTACCTCAGGAGTGAACCATGTGGAACCTGGTATTGCTATTTTGTGGCAGAGAAGTCAGCTGTGGTGGCATTTCCTCTCTGGGATTTTTGTCTACTAAAAGAGGAGGCTGAGGGCAGTCGTGCGTGTTTCTGTCATATTAATTTTGTGTGAAACTGTGTATTTCTTAACTGTTTTTCTTCTAGGGTTCTCTTGCCACTTGTCAATTATCTGAGCCACTGCTTTGGTTCATTTTAAGAGTGTTGGATACAAGTGATGCACTGAAGGCTTTCCATGATATGGGTAAGAATGTCTTTTCTTTGGCTGCATCAAGTAAAAGGTTTATTACAGATTTTTTTGGAGTGGGGGCAGAGGGCACTGCAGGAATACAGATATGCCTGGAGGAGCAAATGTACTAAATAGACCTTTGCTTGCTTTGAATCTGTTGCATGCTCCCGAACAGTGTTGATTTTTCTCCACTCCCCGCCCCCATTACACACAGGTGGTGTTCAGCTTATTTGCAACAACATGGTAACAAGCACAAGAGCTATTGTTAACACAGCAAGAAGTATGGTTTCAACTATTATGAAATTTCTTGATTCTGGTCCCACCAAAGCAACAGATAGCAGTTTGAAAGCTAGAGTGCTAGCTTCTGAGCCTGATAATGCAGAAGGAATTCACAATTTTGCACCTTTGGGTAAGTAATACTTGTTTCTCTCACGTTAATATCCACTGAATCTTTATCAAGTTCTTAAGAAAAAGTATAGTGATAATGTCAAACACTGCAATACTACTAAATCTAAACAGAGGGATTGCTGGTGATTCAAGATGCTGAGGGAGGAGGTTAGCCTTAGTAATAAGAGCTTGTGTGGGTAGGGAAAAGAAGGAAAGTGATCTGTATCTTATGTAGTCATGCATCTGGGTGGGACTCTTCCTCCTCCCCACTCTTATTTCCAGCCCAGCATCTCCCTTAGACACAGTAAGACTCCCTGACTTCACGTAAGGCTCCTCAGGGTTGGTGGAGCTGTTACAGAAGCGTGGCAAGGTTGGGTGATGCCGAATGAGCCCATGCTGGGTCAAACAGAGCCGAAGCAGCTGGAGCGCAGGGCTGATGCTACCGGTGCTGCTCCCACACCTGCAGACTTGCAGCGCTGTGCTGCTGTCAGTACAGTGGCTGCCAGTTCACCAGAGGTGTGTGTTTGGGATGCAGATGTGCTCTTACACCTTATGAAGGCCCCTTTGCACTACTGGGATCTCAGTGGTTTCTGTTCCTGCCCACTGACCTAGCGTAGCCCTTGAATGTATTCATTCCATATGTCTCACTGTCAAGAGGGCAGAAAGAGTTATTTTTAAAATTTCTGGAAAAATTGTCAGACAAGAGAGAACCCCATTCAGCCCTCTCATTCAGATTTAAGTGTGCTAAAAATAATGAATTTTTTTTTAAAAAGTTTATTTGGCAGAACAGGGGGCTGTTAAAAATCTTCTGCCTTGCGCTTCACAAATTCCTAAAAGGTAAATTTAAGAGTCCTGCAAATGTTGGTACTTGATTAAGTAGCAAAAATCCTAAGCCTAAGCGGATTCTTGCATGCATGATCTCCCAGCTTTCAAAGTGCTGCAGTTCTTGATGTTCTGCTGGGAGTACATTTTACTTTCAGTCAGGAGTGTGCTTTTGAAATTAACCTTCTGATTGTCCATCACTTACTGTGCTCTCTGATTCTTACCATGTGGTGTGTTCTCCAAGAGACAGACTGTATTCATTTGGGATGAAAGTCTATTAAAGTGCATCCAGGAATTAACCTTCGTCTGCTACTAGGCATTCAGTCATGAGGCCAGGCTAGAACCGCTTTAAAGTAAACCCCACGTACCTGTAGTTTGAGCAGCACAAACCTGGTCTTGTTGCTAAAGAAGGCGTAGCTAGATCTTCCTACTTCATTCTTAACTCATGCTGAGATTACAAAAATGCGCAGCTGCTGTGGTCAGTTTTTAATATTTGTATCTTTTTTAGAAAAAGGTTTTAATGTGAAACAAACCTTTTTAAAGAAAAAGATTTGCAGACTTTAGTTACAGAGTTGTTTCAATGATATCATTGTACTATTTAAACCTTTAAAACGTTCATTATGTTAACTAGGAATTAACTGAGTTCAAGCTCTAAGCATATTGTTCAATTTGGACCTTTTTGGTTGGTTTGTTTTTATAATGAACTCTTGCTAGAAAGTTTAGGATTTTGGTAGCAAGTGTCCCCTAGCAAGCTTTCAAGCACGAGTATATTCATGTGGATGTGTAAACTGCCTCTGTAAAACAGTCTAAGAATGAAAAAAAACCCAACTGTCTCAGCACTTGTCATTATTACACATGGGGTGTTGTCAATAAACTGAAACAGGTGAGATAGGGTGTTTCCCACAGTTCAGGCTGTAAATGAATCTGGGTTTTATTAATAAACATTAATAAGTGTTATGGTTTAACCTAAGCCAGCAGCTAAATGCCACACAGCCGCTCACTCACTCCTCCCCGCTCCTCCCAGTAGGTTGAGATAAGAACAGTTTCATTAGAAAAATAAAATATAATAATGGCAGTAATAATTAGAAACTATAATAGTAATAGTAATGAAAATTAGTATAACAAAAAGAGAAATAAAACCCTGGAAAAGACAAGTGATGCACAATGCAATTGCTGACCACCTGCTGACCAATGCCCCCCGCAAGCAGCGGTCTGCGCCCCCTGGCCAGCTCCCCCCATATATATATACTGAGCATGACATCCTATGCTATGGAATATCCCTCTGGCTAGTTTTGGTCAGTGTCCTGGCTGTGTTTGCTCCCAGCTTCTTGTGCACCTGCACGCTAGCAAAACATGGGAATTTAAAACGTCCTTGATTTCCCAGCAACAACTAAAAACATCAGCATATTATCAACGTTCTTCTCATACCAGTTCTCATACTGAATCCAAAACATGGCACTATTCTAGCTGCTAAGAAGGATATTTAGCGCTATCCCAGCCGAAACCAGAACAATAATCAATGTTAATGATGCTGTTTCTGAAGGTTCCATCACCTCAAGCAGTCCTACTGCTCAGCCTGCTGAAGTGCTGTTGCAGGCTACTCCTCCCCACAGACGAGCTCGCTCTGCTGCGTGGTCGTACATATTTTTACCAGAGGAAGCTTGGTGTGACCTCACGATTCACCTTCCCGCAGCTGTGCTGCTGAAGGAGATCCACATCCAGCCTCACCTGGCCTCTCTGGCGAGTAAGTAGATTCACTGACATTGATTCCAGATTGAAAATTTGAAAGGTAGGATTTAGAAATGGTAGAAAGAGTATAATCAGAGGAACTAAAGCTGACAAGTTGTTTGAAAAGCCTGTAAAATAAGTTGAAAAACTTGCTAATTCTGCTTTCCTTGAGAGTGGAAGAGCCTGTCTCTGTTTGATTTCTTCTAACTTAGTACATCTCTTGTGGCATTAATGTTAAATATGCCCAAAAAAAAAACAACTTGTCAAACTTCTCAAAACTTTAACCAGTGAGAGTGTGATACTGGTCAGGGGTCATCAGGCAAAATGATTTTGTAGAGTAGTTGGAATAAAGCATGAGATTTTCAGCTCTTACTGTTGTCGTGCTGCCAGGGAAAATGTGGCATCTCCACTGACAGGACCTCTCTTCATCTGAAGTCTTTGAAATAATCTGTATACACCATGTATCAAAACACTGATGCATTTGAACGTACACCGTTGCACAGGTCAAATGCTCCAGCTGCAGTTCTGTAGTAGTGTTTGCCCAAGATCATTTTGATCGCCTTGTTCTGTATCTTTAACAGGGTTATACTTCTAGTGCTTAAGATTCAAACCAGTACAGATTTTTAAATAGTGTTAAACCTTCTTCTCTTACTCTGTAGCTTGCCCGTCATCCGTATCTGTTGAAATCAGCGCAGATGGTGTCAATATGTTACCTTTGTCAACTCCTGTGATCACAAGCGGTCTCACGTACATAAAAATCCAGCTGGTAAAAGCTGAAGTTGCCTCAGCTGTCTGCCTTCGCCTCCATCGCCCTCGGGATGCCAGTACCCTGGGCCTCTCTCAGATCAAACTGTTAGGCCTCACGGCCTTTGGAAACACCTCATCAGCAACCGTCAATAATCCCTTCCTTCCCTCTGAGGACCAGGTCTCTAAAACAAGGTAAGCTGCTGGTATCGAGGGACAGGGGCATGTTTGTGCCAGTTCATGGTTTGGCGTTTTTTTTAATCAAGTTTTCTGCTCGGAGTCAGATCTTTCAGTAGCAAACTGAGTACCTGTGTTTGGAGTTGAATTTTAGCATGTACGGGGTCTGTTTCAAATGTCTTGGAAAACTTGCTTTTTGAAAATTTTCTTTACAGAAGGCAAACATAAGAAATAGTTGTCGCTGTTTGCTTTCATGCTTAATCTGCATATGTAAAAGGAGATGTTTCATCTCTGCAATGGTGAAAGAATGCAAAGCTCGGGAAAGCATTTAGAGTTGCATTCTGTGTTCTTAATGCATAGGCAGTTGTCAGAAAAACTGAAGTAGCAAGTTATTTCTTATCCCTACTGAAGACAACAGAGTTACATAAGTAGGAATAGAAATAGGACAGTGAGATGTTGTGTGGAAGTCATATCTGATACTGCTGTTCGCAAACATCTGAGAAACAGGAACTGAATGTTGTTATGACTCTGGCATATCAGCAAGATTCCTTTTCAAAAGCTTTTATTTGGTTAGGTGGTATCTTGAGTTTCTCACTCATTTTTAAAGTAAAAATAAATAAACCTTTAAGGATTAAAAAAAGAAAAGAGTTAAAGTTTTCCAACTGATAATTTAATGATGACTTTTTGAGATTTCCTTGTTCTGAGTTTAGCTTACTGAATTGTAAAAATGGATTAATTTGAAATATTTAATCTTTGAACGTTAATGTTTATAAATTTCAAATTATGCTATTTATTTCACATGCAACTTCCATTGCCATCTTGTTCATAGTGCTTGTTTAAACAGCATTGTAGTATATTTTTATGAACAAAGTAGTTAATGTATTTCCAAATTGATTCAATCACAGTAGGTTTACTTTTCAAGATTTGTTATTAAAAGGAATACTGAATTATATTGACAAAGAATGACACATACATGGGGAAATGCAGTGGCTAACACATTTTTTATTTCTGCACTTTTTCTGTGTTCTTTTTAAATCAGGTTCACTGTAACTTATTGTTGATGTGTATGAGCCTAAAAGTTTGTAATGTCAGGGAAGCTGTGCAGGTGTATGATTTTAATGCCAACCACTGTTGCAGAATTTTGACCTTAAATATAAGTAAATCCAGTGTTGCCGAAGTGAGGCAGTGTGCTGTTTCATGTTTCACATTTATGTTTTGGCCAGCTCCTTTTAATGTAAAAAAACCAACCAACCAAACAAAAACCCCTCACAAAACAAAAAAACCCTACCACCAAAAAAAAAACCCAAACCAAAAAAACCTCCATACCCTCTCCTGCCACCTTCCCCCTATATAAACACCTTCCCCTCACTAGGTTGGCCCTATTGGATGAAATATGTTATGTGAATCGAGAAATACTGACAAACTTCAGTAATAAAACCCTTAACTCTTCGTACCCACGAACCTTAAACCAATGATTACGACAGCATTACTAATGTATATTATGTTGTGGTCTTAAATTCAGTCATTTGAATTTGCCTTTCTCAGATGGTGTCTGATCGTGTCACAGCAGTTTTCTGCAATACTTATCCTGGAATCTAATACAGGTAGCTGTGTTACAGACGAAAAATAAAATAATAAGAAAATTATACATTAGCTCATTTTTCTGTTTTCCTTTTCAGTATTGGATGGTTAAGATTATTACACCACTGCCTCACTCACATCAGTGATTTAGAAGGAATGATGGCTAGTGCTGCAGCACCCACTGCTAATCTGTTGCAGACGTGTGCTGCTTTACTAATGTCACCTTACTGTGGTATGCATTCTCCAAACATTGAGGCTGTGCTTGTAAAAATTGGGCTTCAGTCCACCAGAATAGGCCTAAAATTGATTGACATTCTTCTAAGAAACTGCTCAGCATCAGGGAGTGATCCTGCAGGTGAGTGCAATGTTTTTCTTTAAAGTTGTTGCTTAAAAGCATTGCTTGTAGAAATGTAGAAATATATTTGTATGTTACTTTCCAGTTCTGAGTTTGGGTTGCCAGAACTTGCCATTGTGCTTTGTCATGCTTCTAAGTACCACAGTCTTTGTATGTGGGTGGTTCTGCAACAGTAAAGTGGTGCAACCAGGGTTGTGTTGATTTTTGTGTAGAAGAGATAATTAGGTGAATGTTTTGAAGACACAAGAGTGGGTCATGCAATCTATTGTAAGTGCATCTTAGTGTAGACACTATGTCCAGATCTTTCAAAGTAAGGAGTATCCATAAGTAGTGTTACAGAAAACAAGTGCAGCAATATTTGGGCGATAACAGTCTGTAGGACAGTATAAATTCTGAATAGCCCTAAGCACTGAAAATATCTACAGGTGGAGGTAGAGAGTCGAGACACTTGAACAACTAGTCTGTGTCTCACAGTGAAATTTTGCAGTAGGTCTTCTGTTAATGCATGGGGGGGGTTGTATTTATGATTCCATACCACTTTGCTATTTTGTACCTTTTAAATGAAAGAAAACTGAATTAATATTTTTCCTGTTTGAGTTTCCTGATACCAACAGAAAACACTCTTTTCAAAATGGCTTCCATGACTCATTTTGCCATAAGTTAGTATTTCAGTGTAGCCTACTGTTTTTTGCTGGAACGCTGTTAGATAAGAGAGTAGTTTCCTGCAGGGCAGGAGATGAACACAGTGAGGAGAAGATGAATAGGAAATAATCCGAGAAATCTTTAGCCTTAGTCCCGTCGATGGACATTGGGAGTTAAATGAACTCCCGTTTTTAAGTAAGTGTTCACTTCTGTGAAGCATGAGGTTTGACAGCTGTACTAGAATTAGTCATATCTTTTTGGAATATGTTGAAGAAAATCGTACTAGTTTAAACCTTTCAGTTCTGTATCTGGTGAATGCAGTGATTTTTTCCTTTTATAGTAAGGCTGAACATTGCACTGGACATGCAAAATGCACAGTTTCGAGATAGTGGTGTGTATAAGAATTGCATCCTTATGTTAACAGCAAAACTCAATTCAATGTTGATATTGCAATTATATAATAAATCCATCGGTAGTTTTAAAAAATACATATGTAAGTACTTCAATTATTTTCCACTCCCCCCCCCCCTAAAAAAAAATGCGGCAAGATCTGAATAGCCCTTTACTGTTTGGAAGATTAAATGGTCTCTCTTCTGACTCCACAATAGACATTCTTTATCAGCTTGGAACAACTCAAGACCCTGGAACAAAAGATAGGTAACGTTATTTGGATTGTCGTGTGAAGTGTATACAAAAATAATCTGTTAGATAGTGGCTTGATATTACTGCGCAAGACCAGACTTTTTGAAATCCGATTGTTATGAGATACAGTGAAAATGCAGAAATCTAAAGAAGCTTTCCCTCCTAACTCTTTCCATCTTTTGCAGAAAATGCTGTTCCTCTTTTTTTGCTCTCTTACAAATGTGATAAAACTCTTGTTGTTCAACTGACTTTTCTCTCAAACACTCAGAACTCAGATATCTGCTATGTTTTCCTTCTCTGTAGAAAGAAAGCTTATATTTGGCTGTTGAAGATGTCAAGTGTTTTTAATTTTTCCCTGGTAGTGATCTAATCTTGAGAAAACAGAGTTTGAGCTCACTTTGCTTCAAAGAAGGGATAAATGTGTAAATCAGATCACAAAAAGACAGCAAAATAATTTGGGTTTAGTGTTTCTTTGTCCCTTTATAATGTACTACATCACCTTGCCTTCCAGAATTCAAGCACTGCTGAAATGGGTCAGCGATTCTGCAAGAGTTGCAGCTATGAAAAAAAGCGGCCGGGTCAGCTACGTTTGTCCCAACAGTTCAACCCGAGAGTATGGTCTTTTGATGCCGTCTCCTTCCCATTTGCATTGCGTGGCGGCCATTTTGTGGCATAGTTATGAATTGCTTGTTGAATATGATTTACCAGCGTTACTGGACAGAGAGCTCTTTGAGTAAGTAAAGCAAAGTTTTGCACCACGTACTTTTAATAACTGAATTATTTTGTTCACTGAAATGATACAACTTAAAGTGCACTCACGAAATAGTAGCGGAAACTGTCATCCCTGAAGCGAATTGATAGAGTGAATACTTAGGGATGTCATAACAGGTAGTTTTGTAGTTCTGAACACAAAACTGCACTTCACATATCCCAGGTATAATTTATAATTGTGTTTAACGACAAAAATCCAAAATGCAACGGCAAATCCATGTATGTGCTTGTACATATGTGAAAGGTAAACTGTTGCATGTTTTTGGTTGTGTTTTTTTAAATGGATAACTCTGGGCCGTTCTTCTTGAAATTGAGTGTTTGCAGTGATTTTCACAGTACCTATAAATCATGATCTTCATTAGTATCCTGTATATAAGCATTATTTTATTACTTATGGTATCCAGTATCTATAACTGATAGCTAGGAGCTAGGGGAGGGGGGGTTGGTGGGTTGTTATGGAGTTGCTGCTTCTGTGCCACCAGTCTGATTAGAAAAGAACAAAGCACAAAATCTTCAGTGAATAAAGTGTCTTTTATTTGTACCATTGAATACAATTCCAATTAACGAAAGGAACTCTGATAGCACGTAACTTCTTTGTTGCCCTTAGGAAATGTTCATATTCTACTACGTTACTGTCTCCTTGTGGCACAGTCAAATGTTCAAACACTGGGAAATGTGCAAGTTAGGGTTATTGGTACGAGCGTGTGGAGCTCTTCTGTATGTGCAGCACGATGGTCTTCAGATACTTGACTACAAGCTAGACCTTCTCCAAAGACACCTCGGTGATACCGCCATATAAATAATTGTTAATTCAAAATGAGCTTGTTTGTTTTGGGAATTAATTTAAGGATTTTAAATTGCAGGTCAATTAGTCCTTTCAGCAATACATTTCAAGAGAATTAAATTTCAGGATACATTTTAACACTTTTAACATTTGAAAAGCAAGAGCTCAAATAAAAATAGGCTTCCTAAAATGGATAGCCCATTTAGATTTATACTAATATAAAAGTAGGTTTCATAACTGGATTCCTGTCTTTTGGAGTAGAGTATGTTGTTTTCATCACAGGCCAAAATGAAAGAGTACTAATAAAACTATTGTACCTAGTTTGAGTATGCATGGTGCGATGTAGCCCTGTTCCTCTACCTCCTGCCAAATAAGAAGTTAATTCGTATTAGCCAGCATCTGGAGCAAATTAAGAAATAAATTTTTAATAACTGTAGAAGAATTGTTGTCAGGCTTACATAGATAAATAACTCTTCTAATAAAAATAACTTCTCTTGTGTATTCTTCATCCTCTCTGATATTTTAACTTTTGAAATATTTTCATTGTTTCTAGCTATAACTCCAATTCTCCTTTGTGTGATATTTCACTTTTTTCTTGGATATGTTTTCTCATCATCCCCATTTTTCCATTTCAGTATTTCTGCTTTGGCCAATGGATACTAATTTATTCCTTAGTTATTTTTTAATATCTAGTTGGAAAAGAATCTTATTTTTCATAGAGCATGAATTTATCCAGAAAATTTTGGCGGAAGGATTGTGTGAATACGTAGTTGGAGAAGAGTTTAAGTGTACCTTGTATTATATGTGGGGTTTGAGAAATTGTGACTGTCTTCCCAAGGTTATGGGTCATTTCGTCACTGAGATGAGTTTTTAATGTTTTATCTTGGAGAGGGCTTTTTATCAGCCATTCCCTAGACTGGTGATAAAGCTGACTTTTGATTAGACTCTTGTCTTGGCTCTAGACTCTTAGAGTCCCTTAGACTAAACATAGAAAAACACTTCCATCCAGAAGAGGGAAAAACGATCCTGGACTTCAAAATGTGATATATGATTATACATCCAAACTTGTTTAAAAACCTTAACGGCTGAAGTGGCACAAAGTGTACGTTCACCTCTGCATGTAAAGGTTAAGGTAATGTAACTTGTGTATGGTGTCAAGGGACTGTGAAAGCAGTTCGGAAAACTGTGGGGTTTTGTTTGAGGGTTTTTTTTAAATACCTCACCTACTCTGAACAAGTCTGTGTGAAGAAATTGTGATTTCACTATTTTACAAATACTTCTTCTGAAATTTAAGCTGAATAATAGGAGCTAAATTGGCTTTTGCATTCGTGTGCGTTGGGTTAGCATTCAAGCAGATAGTATTTGGATGGAACTGAGTTCAAAGGTAGGTGGGATTTTAGTATCATTGAGGAATAATTCTGTGGTTAACTTGTGTCCTAAGTTCAGGTTGAGTAAGGATAGCGAGGGTAGCATTGTTCAACAAACAAGACGGTTGCTGCTTTTGGTTTTTTGCAACATCTTTAGGTAGAGCTCTAATAAGGCGAATTTTAAAAAATCTTCGGGAACATGTTAAAATACTTGAAGTTCTTACTTTATGTAAATGAGTGTGTGTGCACGTGTGTGTGTGTGTGATCGTACTAGCTGCAACTTGGAGAATTGGAAGCACAGAGGTTGCAGTTGGCTCAAAATACATAAATTGTGCGACAACTGGCAAAAGACTCAAATCCTGTCTTTCATGTGCAGCATACCAGAAAAGCTGGCTTATATCTATTTTAAATACAGTACAAAGAAAGAAAGTTAGACGCATTTGAGGAATGCCTTTTGAGCAATGAATGTCCTGCTGATGCTGTGATCCAAAAGAGGCTTTCAAGCTCAGCACGGTGTGTTTTACAACAGCTTCTACAATAGTTAGTCATGAAAGGGAATACGAGTGGCAAATTGCATTGACCTGCTTTTCTGTCTCTTACAGGTCACTGTTTAACTGGTCCATGTCTCTTCCCTGCAACATGGTTTTGAAGAAAGCCGTTGATAGTTTGCTTTGCTCAATGTGCCACATCCACCCGAATTATTTTTCCTTACTCATGGGATGGATGGGTATCACTCCTCCTCCAATGCAGTGTCAACACAGACTGTCCATGACTGATGACAGCAAAAAGCAGGACCTTAGTTCATCTTTGACTGATGACTCTAAAAACGCACAAGCCCCTCTTGCACTAACAGAGTCTCACCTGGCTACTCTTGCTGCCTCATCTCAGTCTCCTGAAGCTATCAAGCAATTACTGGACTCAGGTTTGCCTTCACTGCTTGTAAGAAGTCTTGCTAGTTTTTGCTTTAACCATACTTCTAGCTCTGACTGCACTGCACAATCAATGGATATCACCCAGGACAGGCTCAGGAGGCATCATGTTCCACAGCACTTTAATAAAATGCCTATCACAGCGGACCTGGTTGCTCCTGTTCTCAGGTTTTTGACAGAAGTTGGCAACAGCCACATGATGAAGGATTGGTTGGGTGGCTCCGAAGTCAATCCATTGTGGACAGCCCTTTTATTTCTGTTGTGCCATTCTGGTGCTACTTCTGGAGGACACAATGTGACGGCACAACAGACCAGTGCAAGATCTAGCTTGCTTTCTTCAGCCGTAACAACAGGGTTGACCACTCAGCAGCGGACGGCAATTGAAAATGCAACCGTTGCTTTCTTCTTACAGTGTATCTCTTGCCATCCTAATAACCAGAGACTTATGGCACAGGTGAGAGAGGAAAAAAAATAAAGTTTTAATTTATGTGTTGATAACTACAGCAAATTTTCAAAACTTCTTACTTGTTTTAGCTTTCTTTAAATAACCTGTTGTTGTAAGCTGTCATTGACTGGAGATTGTGACTACACGTTTTATGTAAAAATTGTTAGTTTGTTGGTCTGGCTTTGAAAAGTATAAAAATGTTTTGGCACGGCCATCTAGTCCTATGTATAGGTTTGTATTCCTCTTGGTTTAGAGGAATAAACTTCAGACCAAAATCAAAAATACTATATTTAATTGGGTAGATCTAAACTCTTCTGAAATGGAGTTCGAAAATCAAGCTTCATACCTATCTTTATGGGTAACTTAAGGAGAGTTCCTGGTAAATTTGCTTGCGCAACCGTATAACCTGCGCAATATGTGACCAGGGCAGGAGGGGCTTTTACAGAATATGGCTTTGTACTTGGCATTCTTGTGCAAATTTAGCTGTTTTCCTCATGTTTGTTAGCCTTGCAGACCTAGTTGAATAAAAGTGTAATTAAGAAAAGATTTTTTCAACATAAAGAATTATGATACCCTGGAAACAGGTAGACTTCAGTAAAAAAAATCAATACAGTTCTCTGTTAATGGCTGCATTATTCATTGGGAAATTTTTGCTTTAGGAATTTAAAGGTCGTTTTTCTAAATACTTCAGCTTTTTATCTTTTTTGTGTAGTCTGTGTATTTACAATTACTTTGATGCTGTAGTCAGCGTTTTCAACTTTTTTATTAAAAAAAACAAACCGACTTGCTGCTGGTGTTTTCTTCAGTGGTGCTCGTTTGTGAACTGGTTTAAATGATAACTGGAAGGTAGATCTTAGGCACTGCCTATTATGGCTGCGTAGGGCTATACTTTAGAGACCTAAATATAGAAATATTTTAACTCTGATGTCATTTTGCATTCCCAGGTTCTCTGTGAATTGTTCCAGTCCTCTCCTCAGCGTGGGAACCTCCCAACTTCTGGAAATATTTCAGGATTTATTAGGAGGCTTTTTTTGCAGCTGATGCTAGAGGATGAGAAAGTGACTTTGTTTCTTCAATCCCCATGTCCAGTAAGAATTTTTGATGTCTGTGTGGTGAACATGGAATAAATTTAGCCTTTTAAAATAAATTATTTTTTTAATTCTGCATATATTCAACTTGGAAATGTCATGTGGCAGCTTTTCCTACTGTACACTTTGCAGAATTCGGAAAGGGATGTGTTGGTGAATTGTAACTCAGCATTTTAAAAGAAAATTTAAGGCACTGCTGTAAGACAAAGCCGTCTTGTTGAAAATACACTGCTTCTGAAAGAAATTACAACTGAAATTTATTTTATTGAAGACTTTTTAATAGTATCACTGTGCATTAGCAGCAAATATAGATACATGTTCTTGTCCTTCCAGCAGTTCTTCATTATCGGTTTCATTAAGCAACAGTCATAGTTTTGATGCTTCAAAGTTGGCCGAGATCCTTCAGCATTAGCCAAAACACCACGAATAAATTCTTGAGTGACAAATACTTTAATTAGTTTATAAAGCAGATGTACGCTTTTATACTTCCACATGCTTCACCAGAACACAGCGTTATAACTAATGACCGAAGTGCTATGCTCTCAATTGAATGCTGTGAATAAAGAAATACAGGAAACCCAGAAGTTATTGAAAGATCTAGTACTCCTCTACAAGGAAAAATTATTTTCTGCTTTGGTTTCTGCTGTTCTCACTACATCTCAGAAGTAAAATAATACATGAGATATATGACAGGGAAATTGGATCAAATAGTATAAAATGGAAAAGGAGGAACAAATACAGTTTTAGCACAAACATTTAGATGTTTTGTGTTAACCTGGCTGAGATTAATTGCTGACATGGCCGTTAGTAGTGTGAAGGCAATATCAGTTCTCTAATGAATTGTTTTATCTGCAACAGACTTTTACAGAATGTTATTGGATATGTAAAAGCAAAAAAAAATAAACCAACCTTGAAAAGAAGTTCTCAAAGAATTCTGTTTCGTCTATTAAAAACACCAGGAGACAGGATGACTGTTCTTACTGAGGTGATTCCTCCTCTAACGTCCAAAGAGAAACCTTAAAAATAACATGGAAGTGCAGCATATACTTCTAGTATATCCAACAACATACTTTTCAAAGATTGGATCCCCATTTTTATCTCTCAAGTTCTTACAAAAACTGTATTTTAGAAGTTAAATTCTGATTGTCAACAAGTATTACGTTTTTTGATAATGTTGCACAACAATAAATCGGTCCTGTTAACGAATATCAGTCAACGGTTCTCCTGATGATAGGAGGCAGGGGATAAGTGGCACTCTCATTGTAGAAAAGTCTGTCAAAAGTTACTACAAGCAGAGAATGATACAAAATGCGAACAGAGCTTACGCTAAAATGTGTTGTGATAAAATTTTTGAAATGTTTTAACTAGTGGTGGCTTAGTTATCAATCATAATAGGAAAAAGTAGATATTAAGTCTAAAATAAACTTCATCCTCAAGTCAGAGCAATAGACAAATGACATTTTTCTCTACTCCCAAGTATATTGTGATTTCCTAATTTGATTTCAGAATTAATGTTAATTGCATAAATAATTGCAAGACTCAGACATTCAACTTTTGTCTCATACAGCTATGTAAAATAATTGGAGGGTTTTTTTAACAAATATGATATTGTACTGTTTCTGATCCTAAAAATATTCGAAGCTTTCAAAGCAAATTCTTTTGAGTTGAAAAATTAAACTTGTCCTAATTTGGTGCATTTTTATTGTATACCTCCAAAGTTGAAGGACATGTCAGTTTTCTTTTTTAGCACACAAAAAATTTAGCTTTATTTTGCTGAAGTAAGTTTATAAAAACTTGGTGTTTTAACTTATTTCTGAATGTTATGTTAAATGTTGACTTTTTTTTTCCTTTCAGCTGTACAAAGGTAGAATTAATGCTACTAGTCATGTAATTCAACATCCAATGTATGGAGCTGGACACAAATTTCGTACTCTTCACTTGCCTGTCTCAACAACTCTAGCAGAGGTTCTTGATCGTGTGTCAGGCAAGTTTGCAATAGTTCATGTTTTATTTTTTTAAGATACAGTTTCAAAAATACAACAAAACCAAAAAATCACCCAAAACCAAATATCCCACGTAAACCAACTATGTCTGACATACATATTTGCAGGGTTCATCAGTAATCGCCGAACGTGAAACAGTGGTTTAAGCTGTAAGCTTTTGCGTATGCCTTACATGTTGCATGTAAAATGCACTCTTACTGGTCAAATACTGTTTTTTTCCTTCTGTAAAATCAAGGTGTGGAGTAGGTGAGATTTTTGTATTGTTCTTTGTTTGCTTGGTTGGGTGCTTTTTGGTTGGTTGGTTGTACTGGGGTTTTTTTGTTTGCTTTTTAGCATTAATGTGTTCTGAAATCTCTCAGTACTGCAAATATCAGTCTTTAAAATGTCCTGTCTTTCATCCAGTCACTTAAATATTCCCAAATTATACCAGTTAAATATGTTGGAACTTAAAAGTTATCTCATGGAGATGAAATTATGTTGCTATGAAAAGGATGTTAATGAAAGCTCCATCTACTTTCTGTGGATATAAGTTTGCCTATTATATAGACACTTGAGTTAGCTTACTAAATGGGGATTGAAAGTCATAATTTACTCTCAGAGGTTAATTTTTAAATTATATACAATGAGAAGGTAATGTTAAGGCATGAATTTGTTTAGTTTTTTAAAGTTCAGTACTTTGAGTTATACTACTTGAATATACATGGAGACATGAACCCAACCCCTCTGTAGGGAACTCTGTTGACCAGGCCTCCACAGACCATAATACGAATTTTGGTACCTGAATGGTAGATGTCTTAATCTTAAAATGAATCTCACCTTGAAATATAGTGTTTATTTAATACTTTAGGAAATAGAACTACATGTTAAACATTAGGCTTAGTGATCTTTTTTTAAATGTCGTGCGAAGAGTAGAATTTATACTAAAGGTGTCATGTCCATGCCAGAGCTCTCTAGGTAAAACCAGGCAAGATGTAAGTTGATTCTCCGCAGGTAAGAAATAGAGCAAAATTTTTTAGGTCATGTTACATCAAAAATCAAATTTAAGCATGTGTAATTTAGAAAAGAACAACACCACAACCCACAAAAAAAAATAACCAACAAAAAAACCCAAGCCGCAAACTCAAGATGTGGTTCTCAGTAATAGCAAAGTAAAGTCAAAGATCACAACAGCAATTGTGATTTTACCGTGTTGCAGATGCGCACTGCAGTGCGTGCACTTAGTTACACGCTCATCTGTTTAGGTATGTGTGGTTTTATATGTAGATATATTTGTATGTGTAATTTTTTTTACCTCAGTGTGGATCAACTTTTATTTTCTGAAGCAGATCTTCATGGAGTTCAGAGGAACTGTTGCTTTTTTATCTGCTGAAAATCTTTACATTGGAATTATTAACAAATTCATTAGGGCGAGAAATATGTTACCTAACAACATAGTACAGGTGAAAGGAGTGCTATAATGGTATTTGGCAGAATACTGGACAGAACAAGGTAATGCTTTTTAGTTAAAAACCAGTGAATCCTAGAAAAATGCTTTAAGCTTATTTACCAGGGAATAGTTTACTATTTCTGATAGAATTCTGTATTCACTTGCTGTCCAGACAGCTGTGTGTGGAATGTAACTAAAGTCTTTAGATCCTTGTGCAGTTCACAGTCAGAATTACTGTGAAGGGTGGGATAGTCGCTGCATACGAGGCAGGGCTGAGTTGCGGAGCAGTGACACAGTCTGTACTGAACAGCTGCCTTAGTGGAGTGTTGCGGTCAGCTTGGTGCTGACGGGGTCTGGGGAGGGGAACGTGGTGATGTGATGCACAGTAACGTCTGTAGTTGGAGCTGATCCAATGCTGACTTGGTAGGGCACCATAACTTTGAATTTTGACACAGAATTGCTATTCCTCAGCTTAACTCTAATTTTAAATTGGAATAATTAATTCTGGAAAAGGTCAGATTCTCTTATGTTTCTATCCCTCATCTAATGTATGAAAAGCTTTGTGATACTTGTGTATGATTCCATGCAGACCGTGGTTAGGACATATTAAGAAGACTTGAATATATGAGGAGTAAACTGTGTGTTTGGGGTGAGAGGGAGAGAGAAGGGACGGACTGGGTTGGAAAGGCAGAAAAGGCTGACACCGCTGTAGCTGTAGGAAGCTGTGGAGATCCTGTGTCGGTCTGTCCCTTGGGTTAACTTCTTTTTTCTCAGCTGTGCTATTAATGTTTCAAATTGATTGTGTCATACTTTCCGCAAAGATAAATCACAACAAGCATGTTCATTTCATACTTTTTCTCCCAGCCTTTAAAAAAAGGGATGGGGGGAAGGGGGGATCTAAAATCATTGCTAAATCTGCTACTCACATCCCTTCACCGCAGGAAGAAAACGTGCAGTATGACTGCAGATAGGATTGTCTAGGATGCGTATCTGTTGTTTTGTGATTCGTTCACCTCACTCTTAAGTTACTGGTCTTGTTTGGTCAGAAAAACTGAACAAATCTGGTATCACCTGAGTAGTAAAAATACCATTGCTTAAGCTTTCTTAATGATTTTGTTAATGACCTTTAAATTCTCCAGCAATAAATGGGTATTCAGTCCATGGGACCAAGCTAGAGCAATTCTGAAGTTTAATAATAATAGTAGTAGTAATAATGATAATAAGGGCAATTTTTTTAAAAGCCAACACCCAGTCTCATATATATACACACACACACACACACATATATATATATATATGTATGTATATATAGCGTGTGTGAATGTTGGGTCCTGAGTTCCTGAATAGCAGCAGTTTCACACTCCATTCTTCGTTTGGTCTGCACTACTGTTTAACACAGACATAACCAATGTTTTCAGGCTCAAATCATACTATATATTTCCAAGCAGTCCAACCGTATCTTTTTCAGCACGTCACCCATTGGTGATACACAGTTAAAGGTGGCTGGATGGTACGTACAGGGCTTGAGTCTGTGGTTTTAGCTGAAGGGTGCTGTGGCTATGTTGAAACAAGTTACTACTCAGAAGCAATTAGAAAATTCTTTGGCCATTTTGGTGCCAGTGTTACACCTTACAATATGTGAAATGATCCATTGTCATCAATCATCAATAATGTAATAGTTGCTTGCTAATATTTGTGATCTGGACTAATGACTGAACTAAAGCAGTTGAACTGCAATAATCCAATGTTTACTGAAGCGAACAGCTCAAGTTTTGGATGTGCAATGTGCTTTAGGCATCTTCCAGTTTCAAAGGAACAATCGTAGTTGCCAGTTCTGAAATTGGGACGCTATATGACACTAGATACTCAGACCTAAATACGATTTATTGAAATAAGTCTACAGGTGTCCTTAAAAGTTTGTTGAAAAAAATTTTTTTTCTTGGTTGTTGTTTTGTTTAGGTTTTTCTGGTGTTTTGTTTTGATTTGTGGGGTTTTTGGGGTTGGTTTTTTTGCTTAATCTTGTCTTTGGTTGATTGCAGTGGTGTTTTCACATGAATACACCTGACTTATCAGGTAATGGTTTTAAACTGTTACAGTTTTAAATTGTCAGAGGACAGATTTTTGGGGGAGGAGACGACTAGAATTATCATAATACCTTAATTCATAAATATTTACAAGACTATTGCTGCCTGGGATGGAACTCTAAGCCACTAAAATAGTTGAGAATAGCCTTGTTAACAGCCTTGAAACTGTAATAAATCAACTTGGTATCCTGAAATGATTTTTCTCTCCTCCTTTTTTTTTTGTTTCTTGTTTTGTCTTTTTTTTTCTCCTCCTGCTATAGATACACCTAGTATTACAGCTAAGCTAATTAATGAGCAGAAGGAAGATAAGGAAAAAAAGAACTATGAAGAGAAAGAAAAAGTTAAAGCAGAAAATGGATTTCAGGACAATTACAGCGTTGTTGTTGCTTCTGGTATGTCTTTTTCCACCTTCTGAAAAATGGATCTTTCTGACGTTAAAAGTGTGTGCGTGGGGGAATATCTACCAACCATTCTTTTTATTACTACTGATGGTTAGAAAAATTGCAGCGCCCGGTTAATCTAACTGGCTGTCAGGCAGCAAAGGTTGGTTCCTGGTAGAACTGCTGCCTCTAGCGGATTATATACTTTGACAAATTTGTACATAAATGTGTGTGTCAGTGATATGTTGTGGATGCTGTTGCTAGTGCATTTTACAGGATTTTGTGGAGACACACCTGGAGTTTGGATTATGTGGCAATATATCCGTATTTGTGTGCTATTACTGTGGTATGGGTATTAGTACCTCTGCCTTTTTGCAGTGGCTGGTGCATCAGAGTTTAGTGACCACTACTCCTGCAATGTGCTTTGGAAATAAAAGGATCCCTGTACTTTGCATGACAACTGGTGGTACTCTGGTAGAAATGGTCAGGTGGAAATGTGAGCATAAAACCATCTTATTCCGCTTGGAAACCACAAATACAGGATTTTCTTCCAATTCGTTCACCTTCTGAAAACTACTGTGAAGATCCTTCTGAAATCATTCATGTAAACCCTATTCCTCCAAAACTACTGTGGAGGTTATAGATTGAACATAGTAATTTTGCAGTGATACAAGGAGGTTACAGTTCAGATGATAGCTGTAGAGATCATTAGTCTTTGGGTTTGAAGTGACGGTATGTGTTAGAGAGAGATTAATGAACTTCCAACTTCCTATCTAGCTTTCTGCCTTCATTGAAGTACCTCAATTTCATTTACACTTCATGAAGCATGAAGAAGAGATGCTGATTTCTTTTGACTTCTGGCACCAATATTTCTTAAGCTTTTTATTTCAGGTTTATAGATGTAGATAAAACACTAAACTCATGTTGAATAGGACAGCAGTTTCATGGGTCTTGGTATATATTTAAAGCAACACAGCTGATACTAGTGACAGCATTTTTATCTGGAAAGGTATTTGCAGTAGGTGCCACCTAAACAGGGTAAACATGATTTGGTAATGTCTAAAAGATTAATAGGTCCAAGCGAAGGGTTAAAATATGAATAAAGCATCTAGGAAGAAAAAAAATAATATGCCAGGCTTGAAGATAGGGCGTAGCATAATCAGACATGCCTCATTCCAGTTGCATCTGTTTATACTGCCTGATATATCCTGTTCCCTAGTTAGAAAGAAGCAGACTTAAGTTTTTTCCTTCTTTTTTTCCAGTTAAGTAAAACAGTTTAAATGTAAACTTAGTTCATTTGCACTTGCTTTATTATCTGTTTGTGAAATATTTTCTTCTTTTGTCTTTATCTTTTCTTATATTCTGGGGTTTTTTTAGTGTCTTCAGAGCCTCTTGCAGCCACTATTTAACTTCTTCCTTATTGGCAAAATTAATAGAGAGTAGAGATGATATTTGGAGCCTGATCTTACTGACACAAGCTGGTTGAGTATACTGAGAGTATTGGAGAATGTGTTGTATATTATAGCTGCTCTTACTCATCAGCTGAAACCAGAGTCTATTGCAGCATTTCAGGTGTGGATGTTGTTAGTTTTGCAGCTGCTATTGGCTAATAAGGCAGTAGTTGTATGTGTCTTTGTACCTCAGCCTTCTGGCTTTTTAACTTCTTCTGTCGCCTGTGTAGAAGGGTGTGTGATAGTAGTATAATTTCACTGTACCTTAAGTCAACTTAAACTGTCCCCAGAATATGTTAGTCCTGCTGTAGTAAGCCTTTATGTACCTATTCTGCCTTTTAATTTTCATGTAGTGCTTGCTGCTTGCTTTAAATGTTTTGACCAAGACACCTTTCGAAGCCTGTTTAAAGATGCCTTTCATCACGTGGTGCTGTCAGTACTGCAGCTGGAGTCACTTCCATAGGCAGGGTGGTTATCTGTAGTCTGTGCTGAAATATCTGTCAGTGTAGAAATTTTTGCCTTTCTTGCTTTCAAGTGAAAAAGCAGCCTAAAGTTTTACTGTAGGACCCATTGCTAGACAGGCTCTTTAACTGAGATACATTCTATACATGAATGCCATTCTGCTATTTAATTAGCCAGTGCTGAAAAATTTTCCTTTTTGCTATCATTGAAGGTATTGAGTACATTGCATCTTGGCTAACTGAAGTTATTAAATACTGGAATGACTGTGATTTTTTTTTACTTCTGTACTAGGTTTGAAATCTCAGTCAAAAAGAGCTGTTTCATCCACCCCTCCACGTCCACCATCAAGGCGAGGAAGAGTGCTGGCGGATAAAGTAGGTACCTCTTCTTCAGGAGGAGAATCATCCAGCAAGACCATTAGTGTTCCAGTCTTTCATCTATACCATAAACTTCTACCAGGTAACTTTAATAGCTCATTTTAAACTTCAAAATTATGGTCTTTTCAGTGGCTGATACATCATTGGACAGTAGATGTAATGCTAATAGACATCGTGATCTTTCTATTGAGCATCTTTGTAGAGCCCTTCTGGGTTGGTAACAGCTTTCAAATGGAAGTGGGGCATTATAATATCATAGTGGCTTGACAAAAGTAACATTTATGGTGATCTTCCTTGAAGTTTAGTTCCTTCTTCCTAAACAAAATCTCAAAAACATTTCCACTTTCACTCAGAAATAAGAGGGGTGGGTTTGGAAGGTGACTAACATTTTCTTTCACCTGCAAAGCAGAACTGAACTGGTATTTGTGCCCTGTTACTTTATGTTCTGAGTGGGCAGTCAACTTGCATTGCTCTCTGGAAGGTTGATTTGCCAGTTCAGGAATATTCTTGAATTCCGTGATACTTGTGTTTTCAAAACCAGGATGTCTTAAGCCCTTAGTCAGGTTTTATGTGTAGTTGATAATGTGCTTGCGTTTTACCAGCTATCTGGACAAAGCTGGTGGTGATGTTGTAGTTGAGGCACAGAAAGCGATCTCTGTCCTATAGAGAAAGATTGGTGTGACTTGAATTCTTATCCTTAGATCAGGGATAAAAGACAGGAACATGGGTGAAATGTTAATATTAGGCAGAAGAGCTTCTTATCTGGTTTATTGTATAGAAAGAAGGAACCAGCTAACAGAATTAAGAGGTAAACTTCTGATCAAAGTAATTATCGCCCAATTCAAAACTAAATTTGGAACTCAGTACAGAATTACTGGCTTTAAGGCTATGCTCTGGCAATTGTTAGAGGGATCATATACTTGGATTAAAATATCTATAATTGGTACAGATAGTACTGCTATAGTGGAGAGGAGGTCAAAACTCAGTGCCTGTTTTTAGTATCTAGCTGGTAAGGTTGACTGTCTACTAATGGTTATGTAGACCATTCTGTATTTGTGATCTGCTTGATCACCCATCTTGCACAACAGCCAGTTGTTACCAAAAAAGAAGCCATGGAAAGCAAAATCAGTGATGAAAAAAAGGGCAGAAAACTTACTCACTTGCCAGTGGAAAGACATTTTTAATTTTCATTTCTTAAGATACCATCTTCCACTGAAAAAACAGGTTACTACTAAAGACCTTCCTGGAACTTGTGTTACTTGACTAAGTACAGTCAAGATGAAATGGGCATGCTCAGTGTATTATATGATCCAACTCTAAAATATTTCACTTCGTGAGTAAGTCTACTTTTTATCAGGAGAAGTTGTTCTGCCTTGAGAGTAACTTGTAATTTCAGGGAACGACATACTCTTCATAAACAACTGAGCAGCCAAAGTCTTGGTTTGAGTAATCCGTTTGGGCTGTACTGCATGGGCATTTCAAGTCTGCGTTGCTGCTAAGAAAAGTACTCCTGGCAGTGCCGTTTCTTTTTTCTTGCTGAGTTGTGTCCGCACAAGAGTAGTGAGCTATGCTTGGGACTAATAGGACAGAAAGAGAGTTACATGTTTCTTTGTTTTCCTGTTTTTCACACTTCAGCCGTTTTACCTTACGATCACACACCTTTACGCCACCACAATTCACAGGTGATGCAGCGGTGAGGTTTAGGAGTAGAGGACAGGCAGTACCCAGTTAAAACGCACATCAAATTACAGCCTTAGCCGTTTGTTAAATATGCCGAGGGCTTGGGCTGTCAGCACAGAGCTGCCTTAGGGAATGCTGGCATAGTTGGTTGGTTGGTTGGTTGGTTCCAAACTGATGGGGCCCCTTTTCTTAAGAGAGCAAATGGTAAAATTAAGGCCTTGGTTTGGAGCCAGGTGATACTTAGTCTACTTGGCCTCCGTGGTGCAAGTAATGAACAGCACCTGGACATGTGTTTTGAAATAACCGGGTTATAATTTTCCTCTCTGACTCAATGCCATTGTTGTTTAGGCCAGCCGTTACCAGCTGAAATGACACTTGCCCAGCTTCTGACTCTACTGTATGACCGTAAACTCCCTCAAGGATACCGGTCAATAGATTTGACGGTTAAGCTTGGTTCCAAAGTCATCTCAGATCCAAGCTTATCAAAAACAGACTCATTTAAACGTCTTCACACAGAAAAAGGTGAGTATTCTTACTTTTTTTTTGTATCTTCCTTTTAAAAATGCTTTTAGTTTGGACAAAAATGGATTTGGTTTCCTTGGTAAGAAACCACAGTTTTCTGTATTTCCTTGGATGGTGTTCCTGAGCCATCCTCTGCAAGACAAGTGCTCAACTTGGTGAGAAAGAACAAATTCATTAGCTGTCTTCAGATTGTTTCTGTAAGATGCACCAATATGGTTGTTGTGGTTTCACTTTCCTTTCTTCGTTGTAGTGTTGTACATGATAACGTTATGTGATTGTATAGATACCATGTATTTGATTTTTTGACGTGTATACCAGTTCTTTGTAGTAAGTGTTTGTACCGATAACCAGGGAGATTGAGCAGGAGCTGTTTGAAACCACAGGAGTTACAGAAGCTGGTGAAATTTTTTTACTGCAGCAACTTGAGTACTTAAATGTTTCTTTGAAAAGGGGAATTTTTCTCCAGGCCCTCTAAGCAGGCCTTGTAACTCTAGCTTTCAAAAACATTATTTTTAACGTTTTCTAATATAGTCTGTTTCTTGCTAATGTTTTTTCTGATTGCCTGCTGTCTACTTACTCATAGTTCTAGGGAAGGGGGAGGGAGGAGTTGTATCCCAGGAATCTGTTTTGAAATATTTTGATATTGTTCGTTTAGGGAAGGAGTTAGAGGAGTGGGACCGTGAAGTTAAGCTAAGGTGATATGCTGATCACCAGCCTGCTGACAAAGCATGAAATGACAAAGTTAATCATGTGGCCATTGTAAGACAGGGGCTTCTTTTAAAAGCTGTTCACTTGATAAATCAATCTCTTTCTAGAAAAGATAAGAAATGGAAAGAAGTGTTCAAAAAAAATAAATACTTTTCTTGCTATCAGGTCTGAGCTAAGTATTTCATGATTCCGTGTAACGGCTGGAATACAGATCTCGCACTATTGAGAGGCTTTTCTCTTTCAAATAATATTTGTGTTTTGTTTTGCTGTTTGTTTAAATTCTAAACCTACAGTAAGTACTTCTCTAGTTGAATAAAACTCAGAAATCATTAGAGGAGGCTCAGTTCAGAGGTAGAGTTGCATGTGAAAACATGAAGGTCCTCTTTGAACTTTTATTACGTTACTAGGGGTTTTATTTGAACTTGAGCCTAATACTTTTGAAAGTTTGACTTTGTCATTACAAATCCATTGATCTGTGGTGCTATACAGCAAAATATTAGTTACATTCAGATGTCTCACAATTGCCAGTCATCAGTTTTGAGGGTTAGTGCAGCTGCTTTTTCATGACTAGTTTTTACTGTCTATAGAAATCATTCTTACATATCAGTATTTCCTTACTTGCTACTTAAATTAGACTCTTTTTTTTTTTTCTTTTTTTTTTAAACCATCTGTGCTGGGTAGATTTTATAGCTTCACATTCTGTCTCTAGTGCTGCATTTACTATTACTATGCTTGAGGAAGTGTCATTTACTTGTATTTTTTTCTGTGTGCTTCGATGACTTTGAGATCAGCAGTTTTCCACAGCTGAAGTGCAGGACTTTGCCAAAAACGTGCAAAACATTCATGAAGGTGAAATGGTTTCAATTGGGTTATAAGATTAACTAAAGCAAATACTGGAGAAGCATAATTAAGTGTAACTCCTTGCAACAATATTTAAGATTTTAAGGGAATAGCGTTATATTTGCACTTATAACAAAAGAGATGCCTATACTTTTACTCACTGATAACATATTTTTCAAGTGTCTTTTGCAGAGGAGCGTTTGGCCGTAGTGATCTTTCTGTGCATTGTGAATATCTCTGTGTGTCTATTTTCTTGATTTCTTTCTTTTGGAGGGCTTACAGCTTTTTACACTGTAAAACAGAGGTGTAAGTCTTCCTGCAAAATCTTTATTTTAAAATTTTCCTTATCAAGGAAATTTAGCCCTTCTCGTGGTCTGATCAATTCATGTCATCGCAAGCAACTGAATTGTAAATGATGTTCAGCCTGGCGTGGTGGCCTCCTCCACCTGCCTGACAGAAGGTGGTCCCTTGCTGAGACCAGCATGTTTGCAGACATCCTCACTGTCTGCGGTGACAGGGAAAGCTTCACAGAGGTGGTTTCTGCCTGTGTCCTTACGAACAGCAGACGTCAAAGCTGTATGTGCTGAAAGTGTTATGTTTGGGCTCGCTCTTACAAGGAATTATCCTGCTTTGGAAGTTTATGTGACCTTTTCTATTTCTCATAGTCCATTAGGTTGAATTAGGGTGAATGGATGTACATGCTACTACATATCCCTGCTTTGAGTTTATTAAATCTGGCACTTGGATCATTCTGCTCCATAGTGATGTGCTCTTCCCACAACGTATCTGTGATGTCCTCGTAACCTGGTGCTTCTTGCACATTTAAAAGTTGGGAATTAGGATGGGGAAAGACCTGCTGTTTGCTGTTCCCTTTCAAATAGGGAAGAAAAGGTTTTGAAAGACAATGTATCTGTGGTTAAAACTTTAAAAAAAAAAAAAAGGTTTGTTTTAGTAGCTGTGTGAATTCTGCTTTAATGTGCTTCTGTGGGTTTTATAAGTATGTAATAAATGATAGCAGGTGTGCATACAAACATTTTAAGTATGATCACAGATTTTCAGCTGGGTGTCAGACTGCTCACAGCCAGGAGATACTGACACCACTTGATCTATGCTGCCTTTTGATGTGGGTAAACTGTGAAGGCTTTCAGGACCACTACATTAGAGTCTTTTAACAACATAATCTGCAATACAGATTTTTTTTTTTTTTTAGATGCAATACATTGAATATTCTCTGTGAAGTTTGCATGTGGTAATAAGCAAAGAGGGTTGATTTTTGGGAAAACAAATTTGTGTTAGGGTTCTGTATATACAACCTGTGCGCACCAGTGTATAAAATGATTGTTTTTTTGTCTGTTGTACAAGATATTAGGGTGCTTAGTCAAAAACTGGGAGGATGGAGGCTAGTAGAAAGTTAAAAATAGAGATCTTGGTCTTTTTTATGAGGAAGAATAGAATTAAATTTCACAGCTTTGTCAGAGGGGCATTTTGAGGCCTCACAGAGAGAAGATGAGAGAGTGATAGGTGTGGCGAGTGATAAGTGATAGGACATTATGGATGGTGAGTTAAATGATGGGAAAGGGGAAACTAAAAAAAATTCTTGTTCAGCATTTTTGAGGAAAAAGCAAGTCTTAAATTGAGGTGTTCTTTCCTTTCTTCACCTATAAAGTCTTCATTGGAGATTAACAAACCTACTCGTCTCCTTGATGAAAGACAGTGTTAAAAGATGATGTACTTAGAAAGTTAACAAAATCTTGAAGGCTTAGATCAAATTCTAATAAAACATAAAATTCTAATAATTAACATGTAACCCTGTATAAATAATTAACATGTAACCCTGTATAAATAATCCCAAGTTATGACATGGATCTGCTATCACTGGCAGATACTTTTCTTTTGATATTTTTGTACTCATTCATTTCTTGACTCAGGTTTTGCTTATGAAGGAACTGATACTTTTGAAGTCCACTTTTAAGTGAGGATGAAGAAATAAATACAATATTCATGATGATGTATTAATTTTTTACCTCTGTGTTTTTGTAGAGCATGCAGATTTGCTGGGACCTTGCCCTGAAGATGAAGCCATCAGTCCTGGGGATGAGTGTATGGATACAGTTCTAGATGAATCGCTTCTTGAAACCTGTCCAATTCAGTCTCCACTGCAAGTTTTTGCAGGAATGGGTGGATTGGCCCTCATTGCAGAGAGGCTCCCTATGCTCTATCCTGATGTAATTCAGCAAGTGAGTGAAAAAGTCGGTGTAGAGAAGCATGCGAAGAGTGGTTTGTTTGTTTGTTAGCTTAAGGACAGAATTTTCCTCCTGTTTCTCTGTGCTTCAGTTTGACCGCTGGGGGATGTGGGGAAGGTGCATTAACACAGGCGAGCGCATAGCTGCACGGCCGGCCCGGCCCGGCCCGACACGCCGCTCCCCTGAGCGTGATGCAGGCTGCTTGGGCCGCCGTGTCCCTGTGGGACGCGTGCGTGCGTTCAGGGGGGCTGCTCGCCTCGCTCCCGTTCATCCATGGAGTGTCTTGGAGGGAGCAATAACGTACAGTTGCTGATGTACTATAAAGCCGAACTCGTTTATTATTTAATTGCTCGTGTAAATGTACCCTCAGGTATTTTTTTTATGGTTAAGTGAAATTCAGTTCTCAAAGAAGATTATATAATTTTATTTATTTTAGGGTTGTTAATAATTAATAACTATGTAACCTTAATTATCGTTATAGTCATAAATAATATCGCTTAAATTATTTAATAAATAATGTCATTCATTTGTATACTTATTATAATTATGTATAGAATTTGTCTGGAGGCACTGATAGGAGCTTCAGAAGTGTCAGTAGCGGCGTTAGTGTGGAGTTACTCCTTTGGCTGCTGTTCTAGGTACACAGCCTTTATTAAAAAGGAGAAAAATAACCTATGAATTACTCAAATTCTATTTGGCTATATTTTTGAAATTTTTGGCTGCTGCTACTAACAGGAAAGACTGTGAATATTTATTCCCTTTGTAAGCAAGCTAATAATGAATTAAGGGTGCTGTTCAGTACCCTGGCTGCAAAACTCTGGCAGGAATAGGAACACTGTAGTGAGACCAGAAAATTAGTATGAATCCTTTGTAAATAGTTCTGCGAAGATGTTACAGACATCTAGTATCAAACTGGGTCAAAAATTAAAAGTTAAGGAACATAAACAGTTGCTGTATTTTAAAATCCAAGAGAGGTAACATCTACTCTGCATTGAAGATGACTGATTCATGGAATTCTGCGACTTATGACCATGAGAAATTTCATCGCTTTTTTTCCTTCTTTTTCTCCTGGAAAGTTACTTTCTTTTCACAATTTTTTAGTTTGGATTTAAATACTGAATAAGAATTATGTGATCCATAAAAACAAATTAAGTACAATGATACCAAGTAGAAGATTCAGAGTGAAGGCTGAATAATTCTCCAGACTCTTCGTTATTTAATTTTATTTTTACATTTCTCCAAGTCACTGATATTTCTGATTCTCTCTGTGTAGAAGATTGGAATAAATGCAGCTAAATACAGCTTTGACTTTTAATTAGGAATTTGGTATTCTGAATAAATTCTGCAAGGACTTTTCAGATTAAGCTTTTCCAGTTCAGATCAGTCTGGTGATAAACAGTAAAATTTTATATATGGTTGCATCAGTTAATCTGAATAGCATAAAAGCCTGAACCTTCTGTCATGTTTAATTGAGAGGGACCTGAGTGTCATACCTTCATTTTAACTGAGGGTATGACTCTTTCCTGGAGAACTGTGCAACTGTTACCCCCTTAAACTCTGATTCCCATCATAATGCCTGGTTGCATAGTCCTCTGTGCAGTGTTAGCTCATAAAAGAGAGCTACAGACTGTTGTGTTGGAGCATAATAGTAATAAAGACTGCCAAATCAATCAAAAGCCTGAAAGCAGCACATGAGTTGCTACACGACTGCTAAGATACCCAAATTTCTTCTTGGTTTTTAAAGGTATTCTGATGTAATTGTTCTCCTTTTGCCATATGTAATTAAAAATTGAGTAAGTTCACACTTAATGTTTAATGTTAATTTAAACTAATCTTTATTGGTTTTTTCAGTGTAATTTATGCCTCCTATGCCTTTAGATTTTAAGTAACATGTTTTAGCTGAAGATTTTAGGTTGGCAAAATACAGTTGCTTGCTTATGTATGTGGGACTTTCTAGAACTGTACTGCAAATGCACGAGTGTGCCCTTTTTAGCCGTCCCACCTGGTCCCCCTATCTGTAAATGGTAGTGTATTTCATGCCACTTTTTAATGGTGTCCTATATTAAGATTGTGTGTCCATTAGTTTCTAACTTTAATAAATTTTTTGCCTAGATTAACTGAATGACTACCAAATCTTTTTGTTGTTTTTGTTGGTTAAGGTGAGCACTCCGGTGGTTACATCGACCACGCAGGAAAAGCAGAAGGACAGTGATCAGTTTGAATGGGTTACCATTGAACAATCAGGGGAACTGGTGTATGAAGCACCAGAAACAATTGCTGCAGAACCTCCACCGATCAAGTCCACAGTTCAGACTATGTCTCCCATACCTGCGCATTCTTTGGCTGCCTTTGGTTTATTTCTTCGTCTCCCGGGCTATGCTGAGGTGCTGCTAAAAGAACGGAAACATGCTCAGTGTCTGTTGAGATTGGTGTTGGGAGTTACAGATGATGGTGAAGGAAGTATGTGCTGCAATTATTATGTTTCTTTGTAGACCACAGCTAGATCATTTTACTTAAATTTATTTGCACTGTAATGCTTTTAGCAGGTTGTTAGTATTGGTTTATGCAACTGTGTTGCTAGCATCTCTAGTAGCCTGTTGTCTCTCAATATTAAATTCTGTCTGGCAAAGTTTTGTCACGACCGTCAGTATGCAAGTGTTCTCCAGATGTCAGAGTAATTGTAAAATAACTGCTGATAAAACTTACAGTGACGCTGTCAAGATGACGGTGCGTTCAGACAGAACGGTCGGGGTGCTGGGTATGCTCAACTAACTGAGCAGGCGTCATGTAGTTCTGCAGCCAAATGCAGAATAATATGGATAGGGGCATAGCTACAGCAGATGTGGAATAAACTGTTGAATAATACCGTTTAGGAAAAGAAGAGAAAGAGCTAAAGATCGTAGTGATCATCTTAGCTGAGCAGGAGCTCTACCTTAATGGTGGGAGTTCAGAGGGAGAAACAGGGTGTTCTTCGATGAGTGAACAGATGAGCCGAGAGACAATTTGTAGTCGGTGTCTTTGCAAATGAACCTGGAATTCTGCATGTAGTTCTAATATTTGTATATCTTAGTGTTTTGAAAAACTGGAAGAGTGTATGTGAACAATGTTTTAGTAATTTCAAGACATTTCCTTTCGTTATGACTCTGAAAAGAATGCTGTTTTTTCTGTGCAGCAGTCAGCTGAAGTTAGTTTCTGTTCAGCATCCTGTATAGTGCTGGACAACATGTAGCTCATAAGACCAACTGAGAAACTAAGTGTCTCATTTACCTTCCCCTCTGTTTATCATCTTCTCTCTCTTGTTTTTAGGTATGGGACAGTAGCCAAGAATAAAAATCAGTCTGGCTGCTTATTCCCACCTATTTAGAGTAGAAATTAACTGAAGGGCTATATGTACTCCTTCATATTTTTATGTCCTTGAGTGGTTTCAGTCCCTTGCTATTGCAAACAAGTTTTATATCTTCTTTTTTTTTTTTTTTTTAAAATAAAAAGACCTACTCAAACCCTTAAAATTTGGGTTGATTTCTTTTTTTTTTGTCTTTGTGCATCCATTATTGCTGTTGGAATACAATTCCAGAACATAACTTTTCTCTTAAGTAGGGGCTGCTTTAATTTTCAGCCTCAATTTATTCGTATCCAGTTCATGCCCATTTATCATTGTGCCACATTGTTCCTCATCGTAAATAGCTCTTTCTCCAGTGCACTTGTTGACAGGAATTGTATTCGCTCTTAGCCTTTGCTTTTGCTAAACAGTCAATTTTTTCACCCCCAAAATCAACTCTTTATGAAGTGTCGGATCAGTTGTAAACAGTAGTCCACATTAATTCCCTGTATGAAGCCTTAATGTTTTCCTTTTCTGTTGGAAATGCATCTCTTCATACACCTAGAATCTCTGTACTTTCTCGCATAATATGAAGAGCTGCACTTACAAATCCATGACGTATAGATTAAACATGGATTCAGTTGTCTACAAAGATAAATCATGGGCCAATATTTACATGTTCTTTTTTTGTCTCATTGTCATTTGGCTACACCTGCAGTTCTGGAAGTCTATCAGATGGGCTTTTTTCCATAGATGTTCAGTTTTACTTGTGATGATCCTGGTCAGAGGACTTTCTGCTTCCTTCTTGTTTTTGTCTTTACAAAGACTATCAGATAGATATGGATTAACTCGTGTGTGTATATGTGTGTGTGTGTGTGTGTGTGTAGATACATATACATACAAATATAGATGTACATATTTGTAATGTATTTCAGTTTAGACCTCTGGATGACGATATAGCTGATAAACTAAGAATGAGGGAGAAAATAGTATGAATATATTTCAAATAAGCAAACTTCTGAACTGAGTTGGCTATTTTGAAGTATTTTCAGTATTTGAAGTATTTTCGGTTGTCAAGTATCTCTGTTTATATAGGTACTGGGGAAGGAATGTGAAATGCACTGTTAAATATAGAAAAAATTGAGACAGTTTACCAAACCTGAGTATGTTGCATTAATAGGTCACTATTATTTGAAATGTGGCTTTGAAAAGAAGCAAATTTTGCTCATAATGCAAAAGGGTTAAAAATTTAAAATAATTCTACTACAAAATTCAAACACGCAGCTCATGGAATTAAAATTATGTTAGTGTTCGACTTGAATAGCATCACAGTTTGGAATGTGTCAGTGACTTAACTCCCACTTTGGGGACATGAATGTGAAAAAAAAATCCTGCATCATGATAAACTGCAGCTCCTTGTCAGCTGAGCTATTGGCTGACCATGTACATTCTTTAACTTGCTATAGTGGGAATGTTTTTTAAAAAAATACAGATTAGTCCAAGCCACCTTAGTTTTTCTTCATTCAGAACTGCAACTTGAAGTGTAGTCAAGTACAGAACCATACTCACTATTACTCACAAACTAAGTTTTCTCCCTGGAAATGGTGAATCAGGTTTTATAACTTTGGTTCTTAACCAAATCCATCAAGGAAGTAAAGTAACATTTGTTCTTCTACACTCTTTTCCTAATGTTGTGTGAAGAGAAACCTAATATTAGATAGCATACTGTATGGATGTGCTTAAGTCCTTAGTAGATTTCTGTATGTGTTGTTTATAACTATTGCAGAGATTGACAGCTGTATCGAACGATTGAAAGAAAATGTGGTCTTGATATTTTTCTTCTTCGATCTAGGTCATATCCTGCAGTCTCCTTCAGCAAACGTGCTTCCAACTCTGCCCTTCCATGTGCTGCGCAGTTTGTTCAGCACCACACCGTTGACTACTGATGATGGAGTGCTGCTTAGGCGGATGGCACTGGAGATCGGGGCTATACATCTCATCCTCGCTTGTCTGTCTGCTCTAAGCCACCATGCACCAAGAGTGCCCAACTCTAGTCCCAACCAGGCAGAGGTAAGTTTAGCAGCAGAATAATTGCCCCTGAGAAGTAGTAAGAGTTTTAACTATAAAAAAGGAAACTAATTTCATTGCTTTCATTATAGTCTAATTTCTGCAGAGTTGGCATTTGAATGAAGAACAAAAGTAAAATACTTGTTTAAGTAATGGTCCTTACATCTTGCAAATAAACACAGTTATCATGAAATTTAACGGATAAAGAACGCTTGTCATGAGGCATTAAGGTGTCATCAGTTTTTCACGGGACCTTCTTTTTCAGGGCATGAGGCATAATGCTCCATGGATGGTGGTTCTTTAATTCCCGTTAGATAGCATGACCTCATTACCTTATTTAGCATTCATCATCTAAACACTACTGGCTGCAAATTATTTCCTCTTAAAAGCTTCATGAATGTAAATGAGTTGTGAAAATTAATGAATTAATGTGGTGGGGGAGTGTTTTATACCCTTTTTACTGATGGAGGAATGAGATCTAAAGACAAAAGTTTTCCATAGTGTTCAAGATCCCGAGCGAATCTCCAAAATTAAACTTTTTCAAGGTACTTCCCGTATTACACCACCTTCTATTCAGAGCATGTATCCCCTGATATTTTTAGGATTAAGAGTTGCCATTTCTGTGTAACATACCAATTGTCTATGAAAGTGTTTAAAAAAAATAGTGACTTGCCCTCTTTAGTGTTGTTGTGGCAAAGGCTTACATGAAAAAGTTCCTCGTAGCTAAATATGGCTAAGTAGCTGCAAAATACAGAGCTGTCCACATTTTAGTGGCTCTGATACTGATGAGGGGTTGAGCAAGGAAGAGATGAAGCTGTGCCTGAGAGTAATTCGCTTGAATGTCTAGTCAAATTTAGGGGTAAGCTGCGATACTGTGCTTCTAATGGGGTATCAGGCTGCTGACACATTAATGCCGTAGCATTTTTGTGCTTTTGGAGAGAAAGGGCAACCATTAATTCTTATCTCTGCTTCGGTCCTACCACAAGCCCTTAAACAGCTTGCTTCCTTGTAATGCATGTCTATCAGGTGATAGGTGGTAACTTGGAACTAGAGCTCCATCAGGCTGCACTGAGGCTTATGTTTCTGGGGCCAGGCTTTCCCTGAAGTGCTTTAAGTCAGTGCTCATGACAGTCCTCTGGAGTGTAAAAACACAACATGTTTGTGAGTGGTGATGGGATAAGTAATGTCTACATGAGAAGAATCACACAGCTCTTTAATCTTCGAGATGCGCTGCATTCCCAGCGTAAAAAAGTTAAGTGCTGATTCCAGGCTGCTGTCAGTATGATACTTCATAGGTGATAGCTTTTCTTACCCTTGCAGTCTGTTCATACATCATTTCTTTTCCTTGAACTGTTATCTTTAACAAAGTCACTGAAGAAGATCTGAACAGAAAATGAAACTTTTCAGAGCCGTTTATAAAATACTACAAATCAAGGATGGGCACCTACTCACATGACCTGGTTTCCAGTAAGGCTAGTTGTCATTGAGTAACTCCAGTGAAAGTAGCAAGTGTTAATCGCTGTGGAAAAACAGGTCATAATTAGGAAAGCATTAGTTAAAAAACGTTTATCAGAGTTTTTTCTGAATCCCTTTCACTAAAGATCTGACATAAGTACTTAAATAGTTTCATAAGGGCTAAGCCATGTAATATTGGAGTTATGTTAGTAGAGTGCAGTGAGGCAGACCTTTGGAAAAAGCTGTATGAGCACCTTTGGAAAAATGCTTCCGTTCAGAACACTTTAAGGACAAGATATTTCCCCCCTCTTATCTGGAGCGGAAATAGCGTGTGTTTCAGTGACCCAGAGATCCTGTGTCAGAATTATACAGGTAACTTACACCTCTTGCTGTTTTGGAGCGTCTATTCAAAGTCAGCACGTGCTTGAGCGTCTCAGCATTTCAGTTGTGTACTTTTGATAACATTTCTACTCCCATTCCCTTAATCTAATTATGTTATTAAACTTGGCTAGGTGTTAAACAGTAGTAATTACAGAGCTGTGATGTTTAGCATGATATTGGTTAAGTAGTATTTTAATACCTTTCATAATTTAAGCAGTGATAGTATCTTAAAAGAGGACAAAAATGGGTTTACAATCCTCCTAATCAAATGGAAGAATCCCTTGCAACAATTCAGCGCTGACCTGTCCTAGAGCTCCGCGTATGTGTCGGAGTCTTTCCTATATAAAGCTTTCAATTTCATTGGGTCCTGGTGATATTTTTATAACGTCAATAAAATGGGATTACATTCTTTGCAGAACAAAGGCTTTCTAAAGACAATGTTCATAAGATGAAAAATGTGAAATTATTGTGACTTTTTTTTTTTAAACTTAGCCACAGATATCAAGTACACACAACAGTGCATCAACAGAAGAACAGCAGTTGTACTGGGCTAAGGGTACAGGCTTTGGAACAGGCTCCACAGCTTCAGGATGGGATGTTGAACAAGCTCTGACTAAGCAAAGGCTAGAAGAAGAGCATGTGACCTGCCTTCTACAGGTGTGTAATAATGAAGTTTTGATTAATGCTAAGTACTTGAGACATTAGGACTGGGTGGTAAAAATGGAGCTTGTATTTTTTGAGTCATATAGCAGAGTAATTGTGGTATTTGGGGAAAAAAATAATTCACAACTGCCTGTCTACATGAAAAATGGTATAGGTCATAGTTTGAGTGAGGCTGTTTTCAAACGTCACAAGGCTGTTGCATAAAAAAAAGACTTGCCTGGGTAAGCCCGGGTGACAGTTCTGGATAGACAGTGAACCAAGAAGCATTCCAATGTATTTCCCTGGAGGTGTCACTGTCTCTGTCAACATCGCTGATTTAGTCAAAAGTAAAGAGTGTGCTCTAAAGGAGGAGGTTGGAATCAGAATAGTCTGGGTTGGAAGGGACCTTTAGAGGCCATCTGGTCCAACCCCCCTGCAGCGAGCAGGGACATCTTTAGCCAGATCAGGTTGCTCAGAGCCTTGTCCAACCTGACCTTGAATGTTTCCAGGAATTGGGGCTTCTACCACCTCTTTGGGCAGCCTTCTTCAGTGTTTCACCACCCTCATTGTAAAAAATGTCGTCCTGATACGTAGTCTAAATCTGCCCTCTTTTAGTTTGCGACCATTAGTCCTTGTCCTATTGCAACAGGCCCGGCTAAAAAGATTGCCCCCATCTTTCTCATAAGCCCCTTTAAGTACTGGAAAGCTGCTGTAAGGTCTCCCTGGAGCCTTCTCTTCTCCAGGATGAGCAACCCCAACTCTCTCCGCCTGTCTTCATAGGAGATGGGGGATGGGCATTTTGTTTTGTATACCAAATAATGTTGCCTATTCGTTTCTCACGTGTTTTTGCTCTGCTTTAAGGAAGTGCCCATAGTTGTTACTGGTGTCTGTGAATGGATTATGCCAATATAATAAAATCTGACTCAGACATACTATAAAATAATGAGTATGCCAATTAAATGACAATATTAAATTATCACCAGTAAACATCCAGATCTTGGTAAAACTCTGATGCCTTCCAAATGCCTCATGCTAAGGAGAAGAAAATCCTGCATAATTAGGCTTTTCAGTCCATTGTGAAATGCTACCAACCCCCGTTACCTTATGTAGAGAAAATTAGATTCTATATAGTCATCAAAAATTTAATTCACAGAGCTGTCAGCTCAAATGCATTAGCTAACCTTACTGCTGGGGTAGAGCACAAAGGAGATGAAATTCTGAAAATGCTCATGCCCTGACTGAGGAAGGTGTCATTTTGATTTAATCAACAGTTATTTTAGTCACTGTGGATTACAAGGCACAAGTATCACATCCCTTGCAAAAGCAAAATAAATAAAATCCGAAACAATTTTCTGAAGCAAGAAAGAGGAAAATCGCCTGAATTACTCTTGGCAAAGCTTCTAGGCAGTATTTCGTATTATGCCATGCAGAGGTTTAGCTATAACCGTGATAGATCACGAGGCAAGGAGGCATTTGCTTTGGGCAGTCAGCAATTAGAGGAAGAAGTAGAAAAGCCTTCAGCATCCTGCTGCAGATGTCAGTCAGTTGTACAGCAGACTTTCCCTGGTCCCTTCTCTAGATAGGTTCTTCAGAAAAATTCTGTTGTACAGAGTGCTGATAAGATGCTGCGGTGAAATACCATGGGTAGTGGGGTTAGGGCAAAGAGGGAGAATGAAAGAAAGGAGAAGAGGGTAAAAAGGTGAATAGAGCCCCTGAGACTTCAAATAATACAGCCTTTCAAGCCTTGAAGTTACTTAATTTGAGAGGACAGCTGCACAAATCAGACCCATGGAAGTGCATTAGGTTGCGAGTCTACAACACGCAGTAGGGGCCTGTGAACTCGGGCAGAACTACCCTTGGGACCAGCAGGTGTGCAGTCACGATGCGACTCCCCCACTGCCACTGGGGGAAGGCTGCTCTTTGTTTACTGAAGCAAGAGCTGTGCTCACAAGTGGTTGTTCCAAGCAACTGTCATCCTCACCATAAGTTGTTGTTTCGTCTGTAAACCCTGAAGTCCCCTCCAAAAGGAAGTTACAAAGGTTTTTGAAACATATGCAGTTTAAAAAGAGAAAATCTCTTGTAGCTGCTTGGTGTTCTAAAGTGAATGGGGCTGATCAGCTGCATGTCTCGGTGGTGTGAGCTGCAGACTCCTACTTTGAGTAACTCCAGCAGGTTTGTCCAAATTCGTGTTAACTGATCTCAAAGTCATTCAGAATTATATCTGTTAATCATATGTATTTATAGTTATTTAATTTTACATTAGCTAAAGTTTGAATCGTGATCTAACAACTGTATAGAACTTCTGAGACATTTTTGGGACTGCTGAAATAAATACCAGTACTGAATTAGCAAAACAGCTAGTGAAGTCTCATGGCGTCCTCCTTAAGGGAGGAAAGTCAAAGTTCTTTTGCCTAAAATAAATCACTTTTGATTAAATATTTTTGTGTATTTCAGGTTCTTGCCAGTTACATAAATCCTGCAGGGAGTACGTCAAATGGAGAGACGCAAACTAGCCATGAGGGGAGGGGACAGAACAGCAGTGCTCTTCCATCCGTTCTCCTAGAGCTCCTCAGTCAGTCTTGCCTCATCCCAGCCATGTCGTCATACCTCCGCAACGATTCGGGTAATGTGCCGTTGTCTCCTAAGTTAAACCTGGCTTTTGTCTAAAGAAAGGCAGTTCTGGCTAGTTGCAGTGCATTTGCCAGACCGTGCTAACAGAACATTCACTTGAGCCTTAAAAACCAAAATGACGGTACTTGTTGAAATACTCATTTGTTGTAAGAGTTTAGACTTCATTGTTTTAATGCCTTTTTTAAGTTTGAAATTTAAATCTTAAACTGTTGAAACTAACAGGAAAGTAGTATTTTTATCTGAAAAGTTTACATTTTAGTTCTTCTACAGAAGATACAAGAGTACTTTATGCAAGACCATGAATCTTACTGTGAAGAAAAATGTTAATTTTGTAAGATAATTGAGCAAGTATGTGCCTGAAGTTGGTAAATGTGGCATGTACTAGGGCAGGTCTCTTTTACTTTGATCAGAGCTTTTTCTGCTTTGTTTAAGAAATATGAAAATAAGCCCCTTATCAAAACTGCAAAATATTTTAAATATATGGGAACAATGAAATCATTGGGTTTTTTTTAAAGGAAAAACAAATGAGCTGTATGATGTAATCACATTTCTACTCATTATTTGAAAACAAAGACATTTTGGTGTTTTTTATCCAGTATGTTGTACTTTGCTGTGGAAACTGTTTCAGTTGTACAAGGTAGCGTCCAGCAGTATGAACTAAGCGAATACCTGCGTGGAACTAATGGCAAAATGAGCAGGCTGGGTTTGTGATTCATGTTGAGTCTCACCAGGTGACAGGCTTTAGTATGAAGATATTGATAAGCATTTTTTCTTCAGATAACTGTCAGCCTGAAGTTTTTAAATGCTGTCTGAGCCTTTGGTTGGATTTTTGTTCGGTTACTTTGTTTGTGAAGATGGATTTAATCCTTCAGTAGCAGAAGGAGTTGTTCCAAATCTGAATAGTTCGCTTTTGGACCTTATTTTGCCTGCTCTAATTTTGGACTAACTGATAAATGTCTCATTACATTACTGCAGCTCTTTTGGATGCCTCTTGTAGGGTGTGGTGATGTGATTTTCTTGAAACAATGTCATAGCTTCTTGTTGAATTGCACAGTATATTTTATCTCCGAGGTAAAGGAGAAATCATCCATCTCTTAAGTATTTACAAAACTACATAGGACTAAAACAAGAACGTGGCTTTCTTAATCTGTACTAACTAGGGCATTACATAATCTTGTATGGTGGAATGGAAGTAGTTCAAAAGGTCTTCTGGGGCCTTGCAGTAAAAATAAAAGTATGAAGGTGTTTCACTTGCCAGTCTGCAGTTTGACACTTCTCCCTATTATTGCAGTGAATTTGTTGGTTCTATTTTGCACATATTACAGTGAGGAAAATGAACTATGTAGCTTATATACCATACTCATTATTTCAAATGAAAATATAATGTAAAACAATCAAGTAATCTTTCTAAAAGATACTCATAAATTCTTCTTTGTTGAGGTAGAATGGAAAAGTCATTCAAAGACCTGGCAAAAACGCTATGTTATCTAAAGGATGAAGCTGTTGCTTCTGAGTTATAGATGGATCGCAGCTGTTGGAATTGCTTTTTGCTGTTTTCGATAGAAAAATTTGCCTGTCTGTATAAGTCACCTTTAACTGGGCAAGAACAGTCAGATACTGATAGAAGAGGTGAGATATGTGGCTGGTGGCAAGAAGTTCAGACTAGTTTGGCTTTTGGGGACCATTTGTTTTCCCAAAGTAAAAGGAAAGGCAAGGTTTCAGTGGGAAATGTTCATTTTAGGTATGATGAAATGGTGTTGAAATGTGCTTGTGAATTACCAGTTAGTAAAGAGTGTTCTGTCACCCACCTCCCAAGAAGGGGAATCGGGACAAGGCAAGGAGACCCGTGGGTTGAGATGGAAATGGATTTAATAGAGTAATAATAAACCCCCCTAACACTCCTACCGAGTACACCAAGTTATACTCAGCCCATATACTCAGTGGTCGCGAGCTGTGCGATGCCGGCAGCAGATGCCAGATGTCAAGCGCTGCGGGGCCCGACTGCGACGGCCACAGCAAGGGGG